TGTGGGGCAATAGTTCTCCTGCCGGCCATATCGCAACATACGCCCATGGCCCATGAGCTGATCAATGGATTGGGAAACCCCGTAGCTCGCTTTTACCAAACCAAACATTGTTCATTGAAAACCATGTTGTGGCATGATGCCATGTTGCATATATGTCATATATGTTTAATGGAACAAGATTAAGGCATGCATTGTTTGTTCCCACTCGTTTTGAGCACTAGGAGCTAGCTGTCCACCGGGTCAAATGCCTGCGAAAGCACCGGCGCTGCCGTCAAATTTGCGTCAGCACTGCCTTGCCATAGACCGCCAGACATAGCTGTGCGTCATCTGAAGGGTTTCCCGTGACCTTTCGCTGTACCACAGGGCTATTCCCATGTCAGAATGATAGAATGCGGATGGTCATCTTTCGGAATGGGCTTTGACCAGCTCCAGGATTCTGAGGGATGGATGGCTCTAAACCATACCCCATAATGCATCGCAATGCCATACATCATGTTTTGACCATGGCACATGTGGCACATGTGGTTCGTTGCACATTCCCAAACTGTCCAACGGACAGCTTTCAGGTTTGCAACGGAGACCTCCCAAGATTCGTGTTTTTCTTGGGTCCCAAGGGCATTTCAGGTTGTGCCTTGGCTGATGCACATCTCATGGCGAATTCGGTAGGGCATTCCGGTGTTTTTTTTGTGCTGTCGCCACTGTAACATACAATGACTCGTCAAGGGCTGAAACAGTTCCCACTTGGAGGATCATTCTGCTTGGTAAATGAATTTGTAAGTCCCCTGGAGGGGTAATACCTAACTAACCTGGAAAGTCTCGTCGGATGAGGTGAAAGGGTTAACCCCATTATGGTTGGTCATCCAGAACTCATAACTTACAACTTTATAGCTCGGTTCTAACCCAGCCACTAGCCACCGGACACTTTGATGCTGGCTGTTGCTTGATGATCGTTGACGTATTTATATGATTTTATACCTGTAGTAGAACAACAAAAAGAGCTGGTAAACTCCATGTTTTGCTGGGAAACCGACCCTACTTACCAGTTCTGACCCCGCGAATTTGGAAGCATACATATAGCAGTTAAGTCCCCTAGTTGGCGAACCAATGATGCTAGCCCAGCTTATTGCTTGGGAAATGCCAGTTCTGATCCAATGATCCTCCAAACAGACATGCTGTCACAGCAACTGCCTACAGTTCCGCGAAAGCTGCGGTTGTTGATCTTGGATGCTCTGTTGGGGGTAGCTGTGGTTAGGCGTGACCTGGAAATCCTGGGAACATATTACTGGTTGGGAGGGGGTTGGAGCCATGGGTGCCTATCCATATCCCCTAGGATCCCCTGGGGAGCCAAGTTGGGTGCATCCCTGGGAATTTGCCACATGCCACTCCACGAAAAACCGACATTCGAGAACATCCAGGAGAGACGAACACGAAGATGCTGGAAATGGTGACCACAACAGAAAGATGACTAGCATATTGGCATCAACTACACCGATCATTTTGGCCCAAAGTGGCTATCAGTACCCACTAAACCATCATCTGGTGGGATGAACGTGAGATCAGGGCGTCAGGCAATCCATACCCACTTCACGTCAAAAAGCTGAACTGGTTGGTGGTTTCAAACATGACTTTTATTTTCCATTTCATATATGGGATGTCATCCTTCCCAACTGACGAACTCATATTTTTCAGAGGGGTAGGTCAACCACCAACCAGCCTGAAGGTTGCATGACTAGATTTGCCGATTTCAGCTGAAATGGTACCTACCTAAGCCGTTCTTTTTGGCCTCAATAATTTGAAAAGCCCGGAGGTAATCAATCTAGGTCTTGCATTTTTCCTATGTGCTTCATCTCAAAGTGACCCAAGACCCTAATTCTAAAAGTCGTAATGCGCTTCATGATTGGAGACGTTTGGTGAAAGTCACATCAGCATTTCCACTGTGTTCGCATGTGTTCGCCTCCAGAATTTGAGGCCTCACCGGCCGGGCGTTTCAAGTCTTAACGTCCAACACTGGCGAAAAAAAAATCGAGGAAGCATCGGGCACTCAAAGTGCCGTCGATGTGCCATTGGCTGATGGAGTACGGACTGATGGCAATGTGGTGATCGTGGCTATCTCTATATGAAGTATCTTAACCTCATGCAACCTCATGCAACCTCATGCAACCTCATGCAACCTCATGCAACCCACAAGAAAATGGAGAAATGTGTTTCCAGGATATAGAGGTGTAACATAGATGATGTTTCCCCATATTTTCCCCGGCTATCTTTCTTGGGGTTGCTATAAATATCATTATACACTATTGTATATTATTCACTATTGAGTCAAGTTTGGTGATGTTGAATTTGAATATATGTTTTAATGGGTTTGAGCGTCGTTGTTCCCCATTTGAATGGGGGGAACATTGGATAAACTTTGCATGGCAGGATATCTAAGGTTGAACATGCGTGGACATTGTTGTAAGCGTTTGGCAATATGGCATGTCCCTCAGTCTTTTACGTGAAAAGGTTCCTCTCTTTTGCGAAACATGTCCCTTCGATCTCGGGTAGCAAAACAATCCCAAGCCATTATTTTGTGGCAAGATCTTTGCAGGAGGCCCACATGAAATGCATGTTTACCATTAGTTTTTCCTTCAAGCCAGCAGCGTTCAAACCAACATTGCGTGAGAAAACAATCAACTGGTGCCTGGTGCTTGTGCAATCTGCTCTGACGATATTCATGGAAACCTCAGGGGGCCCACCGGTACCCCCAACATTGAGCGGATTTTAGCGGTTCCGCGACCCAGAACTTCTTCAGAAGTCAATCACCGAATTGGACGCCTTACCAAGATGTACCAGGTCAATCATGAAACCCCATGTAATCCCAGACTGCGCTAATTTCGAATTCAACCCCAATCGACCCCCCTGGTATAGTATATTGGAATATATTGGATTACTCTTCATTGTTGACAGGGGAAAGGATTGGCTTTCGATTGTTTGGTACTGGGCCGCCATGAAATGTGAACCTTGGGTTTAGGGAAGAGGTAAACAGGCGTGTGAAAACCCCTCATCGGTCTGTACCGCGGATGTAGCGCTGCCGTGTTCACGGGTCCAAGGGTGTCGTCGAGTTTACTGCAAATGTGGTTCCAGTAAACTAACTTGTTATAGCTAAGGTAGCTAGCTTTGTCTTGGACATGATCTACTTTTATCTGGTTGGTGGTTGGGAACATGGCTTTTATTTTCCATATATTGGGAATAATCATCCCAACTGACGAACTCACATTTTTCTGAGGGGTAGGTATACCATTCAGGAGTGATGGTATATGTTCCATGATTTTCCCATTTTGTTTTTGTATGTTTGCCGGATGGGAATCCACGACGCATACCTTTATCAGCCAGCATTATCAACTTCTTTATGTCAGGGCTTATCGGCTTATCATCCGATTTACCCATGGGTATAGATCCCAGCTTTGTGTACCCTCCAGTAAACGAACACAGCCATGGAAAATGGCACATTTACTTCGATGATTTAGCTAGCAAAAATGGTGATTTCCCATACTTTTTTGGAATTCATCATAGGGTATATTATTTGGATGAATTATATCAATAACGATATCACTGTGACATCACTGGCTGGCTACGATTCAGGGAATACCACCTAATGGCCATGTTCAGACGTTTTATCATTCTTTCAGCTGTTTTCAAGTTAATGATTCCCTATCCAAACGATCCCAGAAAGAAGGTTTCATCACGTAAACCGTGGATTCTGGGGGGTGTTTAAGGTTAAGGGAAGGGATTATATTCTAGTTGATTGGTTATAAACCATCATATCCCCATGAATATCCCATTAAATCACCATTTAGGATGGACAAAACCCTGGGCCGTCGACATCCTGCGTCGACCAAAAATCGAGGGCGAAAAATGGCGGGCACGACATGGTTGGTGAATGGTGAATGCTGAGGTCATCAGCTGATCTTTGGTCCATGTTTGAAACGTTTTTGGAATGAATGGTAGGGAAGGGTGATGTGCGATGTCGATGGAGGTGTGGAGGTGTATGCATATATATATATATACATACTTATATATATATATGTTCCATACATGGGGGGTACCCCAATAGCTTGACGGTTTACAATGGACAATCCCATTAAGATGGATGATTTCGAGGTACCCCCATTTATGGAAACCCCCGTGTATATGGTATTCCTATGTATCCTGTTAGAATTAAGTGTTTTTGCCCATTGTTCGTGAAAGAGAGCGAACGCTGGTATTTACATGGTCCATGGCAGATGCCAAGCGCTAAGAATTCAATGCCCACAGCTTCAAGATCCATCCCCATCAAGATTTGGCTAAACGACCTCACAAGGATATCAGCATATCTGACTGGTAACAGGAAGTCATATGAACACTGGCTGGTGGTTTCAAACATGACTTTTATTTTCCATCATATATGGGATAATCCTTCCCATTGACTTTCATATTTTTCAAGCTGTTTAAAACCACCAACCAGAAGAGATTCCAAACAACATCATAGCCGCAGCTTGTGAATTCATATCGCAGATGTCCCTCACTGATAAAAGTACCACCTCCCATATTTCACAGACAAAAGTAGAGAGTATATCAATGATGACAGATGGTATGCCAAGCCGAACCCAACATTGTGGTCCCACAATGAAATCATTGACAATGAATAGTGATACTTCAGCCCATTTTGGAAGAGAAAACCCTTTCCAGGGTCAAAGGGAGGAGCTCGGAGGCTCAAGATGATGATAAGTTGCAATGATAAGCAAACTTTGAGGCCATAAAGGTTTGGATCATAGATGTCCTTTTCCCACTGCTGGGTGGATTAAGAGAGGGTTACCTTCCTTCAACAACCAATAGGTAGATGATAGTAGCTAGTAAAGCTAGTATAGCAAACCGACCCCTCTATTTTTCCTAAAAAGACAATATTGGTTTCGATATCATCGCTGGCAAGATGTATTGCCACGTGTCCCCAGTGGCCATTTGCGGCTGGCAAGATGTATTGCCACGTGTCCCCAGTGGCCATTTGCGGCTGAGTCATTTGCCGATCACGCCCGGCCCTGGAGGCACCGTGCTATATTTTTCGGAAATATTTTCTTGGGATATTTCCTTACAAAGGGATGTCACATTTTCAAGGAGGACATATTAAACGAGGTACCTCCAATTGAGGTACTTATCTAACATGTTCTCTCATCAAGTGACGTTTGTGCTGCATCGATGACTATCCATGGTGACTGGGATATATCAATTCATCCTACTTGTGAAGGCGTACAACCCAGCTCCTGTATGACGAGATAATTCCGGTTCACTCTGTGGATTATCCCGATTATCCCAAAGTGTTTTGCAGAGTCAAAAGGAGTGTTTTTATTCCAAAGAACTCTGGTTGGTGGTTTCAATCATGACTTTCATTTTCCATAATATATGGGATAATCCTTCCCATTGACTAATATTTTTTAAGATGGTCAGAACCACCGAACAGAACTCTGGAAATATGAGATGAACGAGCATGATTGGGGCAACACATACACATCGACATACTTTTCAAATCAAATGGCTGCAACAATGGAGTCATATACCTATCGGCATACTTGAAATGACGACACATATGATCATATGATTAAACAAAAACAAAACATCCAATTCCATTTATATGGTATTACCATGTATTACTATGTATTACCATCATTTTTTATTGGAATATCCCTATCCCTGGCCCAAAAATGTCCATCTCCCTCGAACGAGGCATCCATGGCGCCAGAGGCAGACGGAAAGAGGCGAGGCATTGCCGGTTTCCGGGCCCCCCGCAAGGATGCTCCGTGTGTCTGTGGAATGATGGGAATTGTAAGGAGAATGATCAACATAGATAAGATGATAAGGCTATCTTGGGATTATGGGAATATGCCATGCAGGGTAAACTATTGTAAACTATGATAAGATAGTCTTATTTCAGGCCTGTGAAATATCAAACAGTTTACCCTGCATGGCATATTGACCAACATTTACCACAAAAATGACCCAGTGGTAGGTTTGGAAAATCCAGCAGCATGGAGCAGATGGGATACGTTTCAATGGTCATGACTTGGATGATTTGGGGGTACTTTCATGACTTAGGAAACCTCCATTTGATCTGCAAGTTGAACTTACAGAAATGAGATGGATGCAACCAAAATTTGGGGACTTATCCAAAGATGGTTTGAAACAACAAAACAAGGGGTTAAGCATGTTTAAGCCACGGAGACTGAGATTAAGGCAACCAAGAGGTGGTACTTTAGCCTTACAACTTTGCAAACGTGGGGTTTGAAGCCAAAAGAGACGTTAATATAAACCTGGCTGCGAAAATTCGCATATCATATGGGGGAACCAGCTCGCAATAAACACCTTTTTGGTTGGTGCAGTATCACATAAGATTGTATGGTATACAGAGATATGTACGGAGATACTGTATACAAGTTTATTTGCATCATACATATATACTGATCGGTGGTTCGGAACATGATTTTTATTTTTCCATTAATATCCCATTGAATCACTATAAAAGCCTTGTGAAATCACTATCTGTCACTATCTGATTGGTGGTGACTGGAACATGAATTTTATTTTTCCATATACCTTCTGGTAAACTAACATAGCTATTGAACATCACCATTTTTAATGGGAAAACTCACTATAAATTGCAATTTTCAATAGCTAACTGTTAAATTACCAGAGGGTATTGGGAATCATCATCCCAACTGACGAACTCCATCATTTTTCAGAGGGGTTGAAATGGTACCACCAACCAGGTCAGAAGAGACCTGGCGTCCCATCTTTGCCGGGCACCGAAGAAAAGGGGGCCTTGCTGGGCTTGGCGATTTTTGCCATGAAAACATGGCTTGAAGCAGCAACAAAAACATGGGAATTATATGGAAATATATGGGAATATTTGGAAATATATGGGAATTATATGGGAATATATGGAAATATATGGGAATTATATGGGAATATATGGGAATAATAATATATGGGAATTATATGGGAATATATGGAAATAGGAATTATATGGGAATTATTTGGAATTATATGGAAATATATAGGTTGATCAAGGGGAATTTCATGGCACTTAACCATGAATTAGGTTTTGTTTTTTTTCCTATTGAAGCTGTGGGGAGGTCGTTGTGGCCGGTCATGGGGATAGCCGGGATTTTGGGGAGGAATAGGACATTTCGGTCATGGCTCTATTGTGCAATGACCGCAATCCCTGCTTGGCTATGTTGATTTCATATCCTGACGACCTACCCTCTGGTAATTTAACAGTTTGCTATTGAAAATGGCCATAGAAATAGTGGATTTACCCATTAAAAATGGTGATTTTCCATAGTTATGTAAACGTTTACCAGAGGGTAAATGTTGCCCAGGACCGGCTGCAAGAACGCTTTCCGGATGTGGGTTGGGAGCCAAAAGTAGGGAGGTTTGTCTGCTGGGATGATCTCTGGGTGACTAAGGGAAACCTCAAACCATCTTGGGCAAATCATGTGAAACCTGTTATAGACACCATTTCCACGTTCCAGGGTATACAATATTAGACTTGGGAATGTATTCCACAAAGACCAGCCTGCTTACCAGGCCCATTGTGCTGACATGTTTTGACAGAATGTAGGCAAAATTCATTAATTTGGCAACTGCTGATCCAAAATCACCACTAAGCGGAGTGGTGTCAGATTTTTTTTGCCAATAAATTTCCATCGCTACCTCTACTATGGAAGGGAAACTCTTCAACTTACCATTTCATCTTTGATCCTGATGCGTATCCCCGATTCTGAGATGGGGTCTCCATCATATCTATGTTTATTTGCTGAAGGGTATGTAGTTCCTAGATTGAACTTATTATATCAAGGGAAACAAATGCAGAAAAACCCTACATAAACGAGGGAAAGCCACGGTTTCCAGTGCTACAAATGCTAAGGCGCCAACAAGATTGCCACCATCCTGCTGGAAAACAATGGGCATGCAGGACAGAAAACAGCACGGCATAACATCACAAAATCTGGGGGGGAATGATGGCCAAATATATATTTACTATAGTAGCGTGGGTTGTATGTGCCCATGTCTTCACATAATAACTATGTGTACTTTATACGGGGATGACATGTTGTTTGCGTATGTGTATATGTGCGTGTAAATTTGCACAGGTGCAGCCAGAACATGGTTATTGAATGTTATTGATCTTGGAAGAGCGTTACGGCGTTCCGGACTATTGACATCATAGCCTCTCAAAAGAGCCAAATATTTAGAAGGACATGGTGGACATTAAGATAGACATATGGCACTGGGTAAATAATTAACCAACATAAGAAACTGCACCAGAGATAACCCTCATATGATGGGGTGTGGTTGATATCAAAGACCTTTTCTCATCAAACCATTCATCAAATTGATGGGCTGGAGTCGTTCCAAACAAATAAACATCTTCACGCCCCCCATCGAACCAAGAACGAGTTAAGGATGCTGCCAAACTGACCTCAGTTTTTCCCAGCTGGGACAGCATTGAGTGGATGACTCGCCACTGCTAACAAAAGCCCCAAAGAAGTACTTTCTGGCCTCAAGGCCAAGAGAGCCGTATGGAGTGGATCTTCCCACATGCTTATGGTCGTGATATTCCTGTACATCGGTCTTACATAGATCTTAGATGTTTCTGCTACCTGCAACTTTTCTCATTCCTAGACCTGATGCAGGACAAGCGGCAGCAGCACTGCGGGACCCACTGAGGGGTTGGCGGAGTGGCTGGAGTGATCCTCAGGGCACAGGGCCTTTTGATACCAACGTTTTGGAGGATAAGCAAGTAAAGGCATGGAAACTCAACAGAAACTGACCTTAGATGTGTGGATTTTTCGCTGTAAATCGGCTTTGCCTTCAATCCCTTTTTTCCTTTTTTCGAAAGAAGCGCGGTTGACTCATCTTGTCAAGAACATAAGAGTAGACCTGATGGCTCGTAAGAGGAACCACCCCAAAATTGGCCAAACTTATAGGTTTCTTTGAAATATGCCCATTTATGGAAACCTCCATATGAGTTATATACATATATATTTATAAACCAACTAATGCTGCAATTTGCCTTTCACCTTTCTGTCAGATAGCTCAACCACCAAAGCGGAGCACCAAACAGGACCTTTGTGGCACTGGTAAGAGGGAAGTGGATCCGGTCAGATGCTCAGCAGATGTTGCGGCGACAGTTTTTTGGTGCTGGAATTCTGAAGCCAAGTCGGAAAGCCACAGGCCACAGGTATAGCCCTAGCCCTTAACAGTTCTAGCTGGCTAATAATGATATATATAACCTTACCTATAGGAGTTACAATCCAATTTATAAGTGTTAAGGACGACAATTGTTGCAGCAATTCAGATTGTTCAGATCTTTTGAATCAGTGTTAAGTTTGATGTCAACCATCCATGAAGTGTTTGCAGGTGCTAGAGATGTAGAGATGTTTCTTGGATTGGATGGAAGTAGCACCCTATCATTGCAGTTTGGCTGGTGGTTTTCACATGTATTGCATACATACATACATACCATACCTTACCTTACCTTACATTACCTTACATTACATCACATCACATCACATTACATTACATTACTTACACACACATATATATCTATATATACATGATTATATATATATACATAAATATATATATATATAAAATATGTATGTGTGTGTGTGTACGTGTGTCTGTGTGTATGTGTGTATGTGTGTTTTGGATGATCGGGGATGATCGAGGATGGCTTGGAAGAAACCACAACTCAACATCTCGAAAATCATGGTGTTACTTTCCGAAGCCGAGGATGATCAGGAACATGTGAAGACGTTGCTGACCAGCCGTGCTCTCAGACTCTGCTCGTCAGCTCAGGGTACGGGTAGATCTTGGTGCCTTTGCCTTTGCATTTGGCAATCGGTGATAAACGCTTCCAAATGTGTGTAATTCCCATCTTAAACCCTGGCTTCTAGGGGGTGTTTGATGATTAAGAAGATTAGATTATAAATGGATATACGCAGTGAATTGACAGAATCAGTATAACCTATGGAGGAACGGTTTATACTTCACAATACTTCTTTGAACTGGCTTTTCCGTGGAAAATCAAAGGTGGGCTTTTCGTCCCGGATGGGATCAAAGTCATCAAAAAAGGGGCCGCATGGCAAAGTGCTCTACTTGGAAATGGTGTCCAACTACCCCCAGCCCGGCTTAATACCAATATCACAAGTGGATCTACCCTCTGGTAATTTAACGTAGCTATTGAAAATGGCCATAGAAATAGTGGATTTACCGATTAAAAATGGGTGGATTGTTCCATAGTTACGTAAACGTTTACCAGAGGGTAAGTTGGAACTGAATGACCAGGCTGCCACGGTGATGTTTTCTGGTTGGTGGTTTGGAACGTTTTTTATTTTTCCATATATTGGGAATAATCATCCCAACTGACGAACTCATATTGTTCAGAGGGGTGGCTCAACCACCAACCAGTTTTGTTCTAAATGGCCATTGTTTTCCCATGGTTTTCCCCTGCCTATGACCCTATGATATCCTGCCTCCGATCCTTGAGCAGGCCCCGTGATGTTTGCTGCGCTCTGCAAGGAGAACTTCCGGAAGTTCCTACACTCAGACAGTTCCGCGATCGGTGGATCATGGTGGATCCACTTGGGAGGCGTAGATGGTGGCACATCATCTAGAACATTTATAAAATTCTATAATAAATGGATGTTATAATGATTATAATGGCAATGATATAATCTAGATGTTATAATTCTAGAATGTTATGATTCATCTATAACCATCTATAAATGATGAAACATTGGCCATGTTAAATGGATGGTGATTTTTTGGGGGGTTGTGCAGGGGCAAACAACGACCACCACGACATACCACGACCCGCTGCAGGTTTGACGTCAACGGCGATGGAGTCTTGAGTTGGACCGAGGTGGGGCATATGCAGATCCTTGTTTGGAGAATGGTGGAGATGGGTAGATCATGCTAGATTGATAGCCTCTGGTAAACGTTTACATAGCTATTGAGAATGGCCCTTTATAGTGAGTTTTCCCATTAAAAATTGTGATTTCCCATACGTAGTTATGTTAGTTTACCAGAGGGTAAGTAGATAAAACTGACTGGAACAAAAACATAGAGACAGAGGGAGGACTTACACATTGAGATATGATGTTTGATGATAACGTCACTTCAAACCACCCCGAGGAGGCTTCAATCCCTATCCCCTGTCAGGTCCTACCGTTGGTGAACACGCTCTACGAGAGCTTCGGGCTGCAACCGCGCTGCCGGCGCAGTTTAACTCTGACCCGTGCTCGTTGTTTTCCCTACAAAAATAGACAGGTGATGACAAGTGATTCCTTTCTCTTTCTTGATGGCATTTCATACAATGTGAGGCCCCCCAGTTATAAGTTGGTTTATAAGCCCCAGTAACTATAGTTAAAAGTACCACAAACCATAGTTATTGGAGTTACAAACCAACTTAGCCATCTTGGGGGCCTCACATTCTAGTAGACATCTTTGATGTTCAACGGAACACAGAAACCATCCGCCGAAAATGCTGCGCCGCCAGGCCGCGGGAGGGCAACCTGAGATCCTTCTTCGACGCGACGGATCTGAATAAGGAACGCCGTTGTGTCCCAGCGCGGCAGGGTGGATTAATGGTGGTGTTGAACAACCAATGGTGATATCACATGATAGAACTAAGAAATACAAAGTTGGGGGTCCCAAAATCATCATTGATGGGTGAAGTAAAGTTGATTATATCATGAAAATTATAGATGAGACTGTATTTTTTTTTTAATAGCCATATTGTAGCCTTATTATTGCAATTATTGTAACATATTATAACCAGTTTATTGCTGCCTCTCTAATGGATTAATATTGGTGACAAGGATGGATCCTCTGCTTTTGTCGAACTGGGGTGCTTCAACGGAAAACCATGGAGGATCCAAGCACACTATTCTTGCAGGAAATGGATGGATATTGGGTAGAGGTAGGAATTCGGAAGTCGGTTTTTGGAACCTACTTTCTAGATTTTTCTGGTGGATACCAACTTGAGACGGTATATTCATGCCATACCCGAATTACCCGAATATCCTTGTTTTTTCTAACCAGGATGCCCCTGCAGGATGGCGTGTTGTCGGAGCGGGAGTTCAAAAAGTTCTTCGAATGCTTCCTCCGCTACGCTTTCTTCGATGTGGTTTCTGGCCCAGGGAACCGCAGTGTGTATTAGCATTGTTTCGTGTAAGCCATTTTTTGATATTGTTTGCATCCGGAAGTTAGATCAGTTACCCTCTGGTAAACTAACATAACTATGGAAAATCACCAGTTTTAATGGGTAAATCCACTATAAATGGGCCATTTTCCATAGCTAAGTTTACCAGAGGGTAGATCCCAAGTCTGATCCTTCCGTAGGTTCAATCCTACTACTCACTGTGCAAGGACAGACACGCACATGGATGTCATGTTCTTTTGAAAGGCTGAAACATGATATCCCATTCTCAAGTGCACAATTGACTATGTGGTATATAAATTCAATTTTGATGTGCTCAAACATGAAGATAATGGGATATGTCATGTTGCTATCCTTTCTATGGAATCCATTCTTTATATCCAACATCAAAGATCTTAAAATATCCCATTACAGATGGTCTAAAGATCCATTATTATTATATCTAAAGATCCATTCTTTATATCCACAAAAATCACTAAGTATTCCATGACCATCTAGTCAAACCCTCCCCAAAGAGTCAAGATCCATTATTTATATCTAAAGATCATGATATAAATATTCCATTGTCATTTTCTATCCAATATGATCTTTATGTTATATCATGTTATATCATGGAATAACCCATGTAATATGATCTTTATGTTATATCATGTTATAAATATTCCATTTATATGGTCATGCTTTGATTCTATCAATATGATCATGCTATATCCCATGATCCAATCAAACCCTCCCCAGAGTCCCAAGGTCCAGGCCAAGGGCAAGAGCGAGTCGCTTCGCGAGTTGGAGACATCGCCCAACAAACGCAGCAGACCTTCGCGGGACGAAACCTCGGCCCAGTGGCCCAGTGGCCCCAAAACCCATGGGACACGGTGGTGGTGTGCTACGGGTGGGGGGAAGATGGGGAGATCATGAATGAATAGAATATCTAACTATAATAATTGTGGCTAATTATGGTTGATTGCGGTTAAGTATGGTTGAGTGTGGTTCATTTTGAATATATTAGATATTTTAAGACACTTATTGAATCTTAACCATATATAGATTTTATATATATATATAACCTCCATAAGAATATAGCTCAGGGATATTTTAACCTTCATAAGTGGATAAACGTTGGTATACAAGCTGGACAACTATGGTGAGACCTGGGATGGTCGATCCCAGGTGACGTGCAGGTGACCTAGTTTTCCTCGTTTTTGGACAGATTAATGATCAACATATAGCAACTCCCAAATAGATGGGCCATTTGGAAACCTGGCAATTATGGGGGTATCATGCTTTCTGACATCCTGGAAGCACCTTTCTTCAAGCAATTTTAAGTCGATTGCTATGCGCTGTGTCACCACAGTGACTTCACGGCACCTTGGGCTAAGGACGATCAAAGGCCAGGCTTTGGGCGGCGTTGAGGAACACGGTTTCACAGCTTTGCGCTGGCCTGTTGCGCCGTAAACCATACGGGCTGTACCAAGTTTTATCTTTCCATGGCCGTGTTTAATGCAAAAACCTTTTTCAAACATGTCCAAACCAAGTTAAAAGCCTCTTCCAAAACAATTTTAAAATTGTGTGGGTTCATCTCCAAACCCATTTTTTTTTGGGTTTCATCTCACTAGCCTTGGGACTTTCGATGGTAATTCCTTGGGTTAGGCGCGTGTCCCCGCAGAAAGACCGTGGCTACGAACCCAATCGACATGAGAAGGCAAGATGTGGAGAGATCAGCAGCGGGGATGAAAAGTGGCCATGCTAAAGTTGAGCACTTGAGAAATATGGGATGGTTTCATGTGTATATATATATATGTGCGTGTGTGTGCGCGCGCGTGCGTGTATATACATCTATATGAAAGCACATCATATTTACATGTCACATATATATATATATATATGTATACATAGGGAGAGAGAGAGAGAGAGAGAGATCCAAGTATTTTCTTGGACGGTATTTGGGGTATGATTTAGGAGGTTACTTCTCGCGAAGTGTTTGGATCTATATTGTAGTGTATATACACAACACTTATACAGATCATAACATGAAAACACATATATGTTCTTCGTTGGTCCTCCAGCAGGGCATGGGGAATTCACTTGAGAACTTATTTGCCAATCCTGCAGCAGTTGCAGAAAGTAGATAATTCTCAAGTAAAATGCCGCTGAGAGAACTGGTACGGCGAAGGTTTTGAACTCAAATGAGCAAGCAGCAAGCAGAACTTCATCCTGAGTCTCTTGATGTTTGGTTTTGTTCTTGGAACTAGTCTTTTATTTTATATTGGAGGATTAATCCTCCATAATCCCCTTATAAATGGATTCTAAACATTTCTAAACCCTAAAACCCCTATAAAATGAAGCCTCACCAGATCCAGGGTGCCAGAACTTCGGCTGGCTCCCCCCAAGGTGCCATGGGACGCCATGGGTGCCCTTCGGATAGACCAATGGAAGCTCCAAAAAATATGTGTTTATGGCATGGATTGAGATATTACTGATGATTTTTAATATGTTTCTTGGACATTTCCATTTTTTGAGAGTTCAAATGCTGAGTCTCGCGGGTGTGAAACCGGAAAGTGAGGTGTTCAATTCTCTCCGTCGCCCACAGGATTCCCGTGCGAAAATCAAGTGGTTATTTTGTGGCTTCACTTCAAGTATGCAAAAGACAACCTCCAGACCTCTTTCTGAAGAGGATCGCCAGATTGAAAGAAAAAATGATTGAAAGAAATGGAACTAGTTTTATTTCTTCCCAGCACTGCCTATGGGTTATTCTCCGGACCATCAGCTTACCAAGCACTTTGCAGCAGGTCGCAGCCGACCCTTTAAAGTCATCGCCCCTCATGGCATTTCTTGGAGGACTGTACATCGATGTGACAGGGGGAAAAACAGCGTCAGCAGGTGTCCATGCTTCATCCAAATAAAATCGAAGCCGGAATCTGTTGCCGCCCTGTCTTCTTTGCTTCCATTTCTTTAATCTTCCTCTAGGCGCCGTGTTCTCTCACGTGGATTCCAATTGAACCCAACAAAAGAACAAAAAACAACAGACAAAAACCAACCAATCTTGATTTTACACATCCTGTTTATCTCAGTTGTTATTGGGTTTGGTGGATCCTACCCTTTGGGGTAGAAGACGTGCAGGAGAAGCCCAGAGCTGGCAGACCGCCTTGAGCAAAACGTTCCCTACGGAGAGGTGGTAGGCGACACCCAGGGATCACCTTGCCGCTGCTTTCAAGGTGATTTTGGATATTTTTGGATGATATATGGAGGAAATGGCAATGGAAAGATATAGGATGATATAGGATGATATAGGTAAGATGGAGTTATTTTATAGGATTATATCTTTTATATAGGTATAATGCTATATAGGTGAGATTATATAGGTGTTCATGTTTCTTTGATTTTTTGTTTTATGTGTATATTCCCCTTTTTTGTTGAGATGATGGGTGGGAAAGTTACCGGTAGGTGATGAATGAAGCATGAAACACACCCAGTCTAAAATGAGCCGGGCAACTTAACGCGAGACCCAGAAAGGCACAAAATCGCAACCAATTCCTCCTCACCTTGGCCCAAGTGTTTCAATGAAGCAACAATAAATTCATCCCATGTTTTTTTTTGATCATTGGCTGGGATAACACATCACATTTATTGGAAATTTGATGAAAAATCACCCGTTGCTGCTGAGGTTCAGGTCTTAGAGCATTGGGTCAAGACGGATCATGGCCCCTGGGCTCAGCGAATCTCAGTGAATCGTGAGCTGTGGGGCTGTGGGCTACCGATTTGAGTCTATGTCTAGTAATGTCAACCCCGGATTAATAATAAACCATGGTTTATTAATTAGGGGGTACTCCTCCAATAGTCATAATTGAGTCATAATCTAATACTTAAACGGTACCCCCCAATTAAACAGCCGTTTGAGGTTTATTTATCCAGGGTTGACAGTATTGGGCATGTATTCTTTGGGGTCAATCTTGACCCATACCCATAGTATATCATGCGATATCATGCGTATATCATTATATATATATATGTGCATACCGCCAAAAACATACTTTTTCAGGCAAACAGCGATAATTGTTGTCTTCTGCTCAGAATTGGATTTTGATGGAATTTTGGAGACCTGCAAGTATCAAAGGAAGTGCACCAGAGTCAACCACATTTAGCTCAGCCTACATGCATTCATTGCCCACAAACATTGCTCACAGACTCACGTTGCTAAAAGTATATGCGAATAGCAACAATTATCTGATGTTATCTGTTGGCCTTGATCATATTCACTTCTGACATGATTGTGTGTTAATTCTCTAGCTACTAGGAACAGTGAGTTTCTTAATAGAGATACTCTTCATGCGTGTTGCCATTTTCAACAAATCAGGCACCTAAATCACCCTTACCAGTCTCATGATCAATCATAAAAACCGAATTGGCACCACACTGCGCTGAAACTACGCAAAACTGCGCTCAAACTACGCAAAACCACGCTCAAACTACGCAAATTATTTTGGCATTTTTTAGCTTCAAAAAAGTTGATCCTGAGCGTGTTGGCATGACCAAGTCGGTCATCATTCGACACATGTCTCAGGGAGGACTGAATGACATGTTGCAGAGACAAACTCAAACCCAGTTGTTGGTCTTATTCGCTTTCAACTGTAAACCAATTTGAGCAGAATGCACATGTCAACGTGCACAAATTCTGTTCTCCTCCAATTGACTAAGTTGGTTGAACATTCCAGCAACATGATGGGCAAATCAAATTTCATGGTATTTTCACAAAGAAATTTAAGTGCCCCGGGCGCAAAATCCATTCAAAATAACAGAGTTCAAACGACGTTTTTTGTTGCAAAACGACATTTTTTTCGAAGAAACGGCAATGATTCTTGTAGTTTCACGAAACTACATGTTTTTTTTGCATACCAGTATGTTGCAGGTATATAATATACTTAAGCAAAACCAGATTGACTCATTTCGGGGCCGCAGAGTCACACACACAGAATGGTAAATTGAATTTAATTTTGTTCATATAATGATACCCCCCCACAGGCAAGCAACCTTTGGAAACGGGATTGCTACTGTTTTCATACGGGAGCAACCACTAACAGCCAAGCAGCAGATTATCCTGGATTCTCCAGATGCATGTGATCATGTTCTATCAAACAGCATGGTGACTGAGGCTGGCTCCCAGTCCATGACACGCGTGGAAAGCTACTGATTCAGCCAGTGCCGGTCTGCGGCCAAGAAAAAAAGGGGTGGGAAACCTTGGATACGCTCTGGAATTTGAACATGGCTATGGAAAATCAACATTTTGAGCGGATTATAGCAATTATATCTATAATCATCTAATTATAAATGAACAATGTTAAATAGCTATGTCAATTTTTCTGGTGGGTACTTTAGCAATCATCTATAAATGGGCAATTTTAAATGTTCAATAGCTTATTATGTTAAAATTACTGGAGGGTAGTTTCTTGACCTGTTGTTGTCAAATGCCCGCAAATCATCAAGAATAATCTCACCAGCAGCAGGGCATCTGAGATTGACCATCTGATTTGCTACATTGGCAGCTAGATGAGGCATCATCTTGAATCAAAATCTTCGTAAATTGAACCTAGAGTATATCTTCGGATGTTCCCCCCCCTTGTAACAGCCAAATAATGGATTTCCATTATATCAGAGAAGCTTGCACAAACTACTTCCCAGTACTACTTTGTACAGCAAACCTTGCAAAAAGTATTTCTCAGTGCTACTTTGTACTACACAGTTGCACAAAGTACTTCCCAGTACTACTTTGTAGTGCAAAGCTTGCACAAAGCACGTTCCATTACTACTTTGCTTTGACAACCCATGCCTATGTTTATGGCACCATGGAGCTTCTGCAGGCGTAGTGGAAAAACAGTGTTTTCTGATTTGAGCATGGCTGTATGTTGGGACTTCTGATCAGAGATAAACTCAATTTGGAGCATTTTTGTGGTGCTCCGTTTGTGCTGTCCAGTTGTGGCCACTGTTACAAGGAAGGGGAACATCCGAAAGTATATCCAATGATGATCAGTCCTGCTAGGTCTTAGGCCATCCATTTGTAGCCATCAACAATTGATGCTTTACCCCATGATTTTACTACTTTTTCCCATTTCTGTATTTGGAGATATTTGGAGGGTCTAGGTAGATAAATCAATAAAAAATCACCATTGTTTAATAGGCAATCAACCATCTATTCATGGTCTTTGGATGCTCCAATCATTGGTCAACTTGAGGCATCCAACCATTTCCCCCTGAGGAAGACGCTGAGCGAGGTCCCCCAGGTCGCACAGGTCACCCAGCGGGTGCGGCGATGTCTGCTTGCAGACACGACAGGTGGGGATTCCTCGTGAAGACTTCGGTCGCTTCGGTGATTTTTCGGGAAGATTTCCATAGGAAAACCATGGGTCTTTGTGGTGATTTAGTTGGGGGACTGTTATATATGTTATAGGTGTTTATGGAAATTTATTTGATTTAGTGAGGATCTAAGGGGAAATTTTGGGGCCGTTTAATGGGGATAAAGGATGAACTAATTGATAGCCCCAAGAATGGGCTCTGGAAGATCAGCTTCCAATGGAAATGGCCGCAAATTTAAGCTTCCATGACTTCCATGTTTGCTTTTAGGGGTGTAGGATCTGTGAAAATATACAATGGATATGAGTATGCGTCAGGAATTCAGTTCCCAATATGACCCAATACAGAAGCCAGGATTTTGCTTGCTTGGTATACAGTATTAAGGGGGATGGGATTGAGTTTTAAAAGAATGCCAGCCACAATTTTTGGATGATATTTCCACTTTTGATGGTTCAAACACTTAAATAAATGATGGTTAACTTCCCAAAAATCATAGTAGTTGATAGTTAAATCATGTCAAATCCCACCTTCCATGGTGAAATTCAATTTGTTGAGTAAAATCACCAGTTCTTGCGGGTGATCCACATATTTGCCGGGTGGTTTCACATGTTCGGAACTGTTGAACCAGGCGTGAGAAGCGACCTAAGGAGGTTGGAAACTGCGGTTGACGCAGGGCTGGCGCTGGGATTCAATGGGAGTTTGAGGGCCCTGAAATGGAGCTACGTTAGTACCAGATGTTGGACCATATTTTGTGGTGATATTTCCGACATGTGCGTGCCTCTAACTTAGGTTCCTGAAATGGCCATTGATCAATCGATATACATAATATTTGAAGATGAGGACAATTTTTCAAGTAGCAGCTTTGGGTTCCACCCATGTCAGATGCAAGGTACATACATAGTGCAAGGGTGAAATCAGTTTCATCGAGTTCTAACTTTGGTTTTTCAGCCAGCCACATGACCTGTGACGTCTTTATTTCAGGGCTGTTGTGTTCGTCATTTGTATATAGGGAATGACCAGGAGAGAATGCCTTACTTTCACTGACTGCTCTTATAAGTCTTACAATGTGGGTGTGCAAATGGCCCTATGCCAGATATCATCACACTTACACCTACAACAGACGCCGGACAGAAGTGCCTGCATTTTGCCTTTGCTATCAAGGGAATCAGGGAACCATCAGCACAAGACTGGATATTTGGTGCATCTCTAACAGTGAGTTGGCCATTTTCCAATCACTACCATCTGATTATTTAGCATAGCCATGGAAAATCATCATTTTTAATAGGTAAACCATCTATTTCCCATGGCTATGTTAAATAGCCAGATGGTAAATTCAGCAAATGCTCAAGGACCATCCCTAGTTGGGCTGATAGGTTTGTAAGTACCGTAGGACCATGATGGTGAAGCCTCGAAGAGTCAGGTGGATACGTCTGGATGGGTGAATCCCAGCGAAGGCCCGGCTTGGGGGATGCTGCCAGCTATCTGCGCATCAGCTGATTCGCACCAATTTTGGGGGGCACCAATGATCAACTATTTGCTGGATGATTGTCAACTAGTTAATATTTAATACTATATGACTATATGGTATTATATGACCATCATGGTGTTTACCGATCTGCTGATCTTGAATCATTTTGACCCAACCGTCCAATTTTGCCCAACGGCTTCAATCCTTCAGGTGCTAAGCTGCGTTCAGACGAAGAGGACCGCTGGGCCGCTTCGAGCGAGCGGACCGGAGAGTGGTCGCACCAATTAATGGGGATTTGACCAACAAACACATAGACACACAGAGATAAGAAGTAACCGCACCATTGCGCACATTACTTCCTACATCCATACTATTCACACCTCACTGCATGGTGTCTACTGCAAGCTACCGCACTATGTCTCGTATGCCGATGTGAGCGAGAATGCGAGCAGGAGGCCAAAGTTCACTCTGGCCCCATATCTGTTTGTGACCATTGATGCTACAGCTGCATAGTTGAGGAGGTCGTGTTACTTTGACCAACATGTTCGTCAGAACAATCTACCAGATGCTTGTGGAGTGACTGGTGATGCATATATCATATCATATCATATCACATTAAATGGTTTGCATAGAAGTAACACGGAGGATTTGTTGCTGGTGAATCATTTGATATGATTTAAGTTACAAATCCAGATTTAGCCAACAACAAGAAAACAACTCAAATCAGACAAATAGGTTCACCGTTTACTCCCTCCCCCGTAAAATTAGATATTTTCCCAGACACTTTGGTTTAGTAATGGACCTATATTCCATTGGGGATCCCTTGTTGGGGCAGTTGATGAAATTTCCAGGAGGTGGGTCTCCCAAAACTCGTGTTTGTGATGCATATCTCTGTAGTTAATGGAGGTTATAAACCAACTCATACTGGTTGGTGGTTTGGAACATGACTGGATTATGACTTTCCATATATTGGGAAGTTCATCATCCCAACTGACGAACTCCATCATTTTTCAGAGAGGTGGCGAAAAACCACCAACCAGCATACCTGGGAACCACCGTGTAGTGACCTTCTGTATGTCTTTTTTGGTGCCCACCCATCAGCCGCATCAGCCATGTCAGCCCTCATGGACCAACCTTTCCGGGGCAGGACTGGAAGGATCGCTTTGAACGGCTGCAGGAGCGCTTTCCGATGCTCAGCGCCTCGGTCTGCGGGGGCTGATATCCTTCAACGGGGTGAAGAATGGGGTGATCCTATGACTTAGGAAACCTCCATGTAATAATAGGGTTCAGGATTTTATGTGCTTGAGCATCATGTTGATTCTAGTTTTATTTTAACATCTGAGAATCTGAGGTTGTAGATTCTAGATGGGTCATTCACAGGCGTTGCTTGTGCCAGCCCTCAAAATGAATGAACCCATCTAAACCATGAATAAACTATTTGGTAGATGTACAACATTTCCCGTTTCACAATAGCGATAGATAATCTAAAATCCCAGCATTGGTTTAACAATATGTTCAATTTAATGAACGATTACAGGACCCAGCAAAACAAAAAAATAATAACAAATTTGAGTATGTTTCCGCCATGGTTGGTTTGTACCACTGCCCCCAGAAAGGTGCTCCTTCGCTTCGCGAAGTGAGGTGCTGGACAGGTGCTGCAGAAACTTCGTGCGCATCAAGGTGCTGGGTTGGAGGATCAGCCCACGACCTGTCATTGGAATCAGTAGATCAAGGGACTTAGTTGCAGTTGCATTCGCTTGCTGGGAAGATCTTCCCGCGGTTTTACAATGATGTAAAACGATACTGTGTGTAATTTCTGTTGGATGTTTTGTTGCCACTATTTCGACAAGTTATATGGGTCATTTTTTGCACGATGTAGGTGATTTTGGATAGTAATGGATGGTATCCATACACCCACCCATTTTCCATCCAGCAAAAGTGCTTGTAATATCGTGTAATACTGCAGGGACGTCGGTTTGGATTGTTTTACTGCAGGCCATGTTTATCGTTCAACCATCATTTGTCATTTGTTTGTAATTCTTTGGTTCTTTGGTCATTCAGCACACACAATTCTTTCTGCAGCTTCCTGGGGTTCTACTCAACTCTTATTCTTACTTCATCATATTTTGCAAGCCTAAGATGTTCTCCTCTTCCCGGCACCTCGACCTTCAGCATACCCATCCAAAATTGGATAAAAGATTATCACAGCATCAACAAAAATGGCAGCCTAATGTTTTCATGTTGTTTTATGTTGTTTTCCAGTGAGCTCCCGGTTATTCCCAACTCACCATGGGCCCCATAGGCCACGACTTCTGTCAGGCCATGCGGGCCATACTGCTGCTGCCTTGAGAGAGCTGGCGGGACGGCATGGTGGGCCCACGCCTTAGGACGCGAAAATCACCAGTGCTTGGGCTGAAATTTGGAGATTTGATGTTTGGTTCACCCACATATATTCCGATTTTTTTTTTTGGAGGGCCTCTCCTCCGGCAAGAGTGGAAGTGTGTGAGGGGTTCTTCCTTGGACATAAACAGAGTAGGGATTTGGTGACATGGAGGGTATTTGTGGGCTTTAAACTTTAAACATCTTCAAACCACCAGGTGATATCCGGGTGATGAAGTGTTAAAGGCATCTCGTTTGACACCTTCCTTCCCTGTCCATGTCCTGACTTCGCCCAGGAATTGATTTGACGTGACCGCTGCTGAGTGGCGATGAAAGCAATCTGGCAGTGCAGAAGTTGATGAAACACAAACACTATAGGAAGGATATGTTTTTCTTTGAAGCAATCAGAGGAATTAGAAGTAATTTATCAAGTGCTGAAAAGGGCTACCAGATGCGATGTAGGTGACATCCACTTCAGCCAAGTGACCAAGGCAACCAGCCACATGTCTCACCGCTTCGTCACTGATCTCCCGTGTCTCCGCTCAAAGTGCTGGCGGAGGGCGCAGCAAAGTAGCCGCGCCGTAGCTGAGACAGCAAAACGGCAGGCCTAGCTGAGACCATTTTGATGGCCGCTTAAGTGGCACTATGATTTCTTTTGCCATCAAACAACTCCCACAGATGATGTTTACTTAAATGGTCAAATTATTTGCTGGCATTTGCACTCTTAAAAGGATCTACAGGGCATGTGCGGGATGTGATGCCAGCTCCAGGGGCCCGCAAAGTGATTGAAAATTGGGATGGCATCAAGTGTAAAAGGAGCTCAACTGGGCAAAGAAAAGCATCTAATGCAGACTTCTACAATGCAATGAGAGTTGTTCAGAAGACGCACGCCAAGCATTCTGTCCTAACCTGATTTGCAGGATAACCCCACATTTGGATGGTGGGAACCATATTTTTTGTGTATACTTCAACACTACTTCAACTGTATTCAAGCCAGTTCTGCCGGATTTATTGATCCAAAATCTTTCAGTTCTTGCCCCAAGATGACCATCACTTAGATTCCCATGGGGGTCCAGGTCCATCCATCCCCACCCGCCATGGCTCAAGTCCCACCGACCGCGCCAGCACCGCGCCGCGGCCATGCGGATGGAACGCCCTGCGTCGGTGCCCTTTCCACCGGCTCGGGGGCTTGGCGCCGCAGGGGTTTGGGGTGAAGATGGCGAGGGAAAATGCAATGTTTTTTCTTGATTATCATTGGAGTTCATGTTTTTTTTCTCTTACTTACAGTCAATCAGTCAGATGTTGATTCTTTGTATGACATAAGGTGACAGGTTATTCTTGGATCTGGTCAATGATTTTCTGAGTTAAGATGTTGAATTGATAGTTTACTGAGCAGTTTTCGGGGTGATATGTGTCTGTACAATTATATGATATGCAACTTGGACATTTTAGTACCATGCTTGTTTTATACCAGCGGCTATCAACCAACAATGACCGGCTGTGGCTGTGGCTCACGAACTGTTTCGCCCAGAAATTAGCTCGGTACATAGAAGGTCACACCTTACCAGCCAAACATGAAGAGGAGGAATATGCAACGACATACATTAATGGAAACCAGTTTGAGACAAACAATTTTTTCCTGTTATTTGCCTTCATTTGGTGAGTTTGGTGCATATTGAAAACGACCTCTTGTAGAAGCGAAGGCCGTTGCTGGCAGACCTTTGGGGTCATCAAGAAATTATCATCCATTACATTACCTGTTTGTCAAGGGGCATTCAAGATACTTCCAGCATTTGCCTTGATGTTTTTTTTGTGATGGTGCTTTGGGTTTTACAAATGGAACACCTTGATTGTCGTTTGTTGGATTTATCAGTAGAGCCCACTACATAGCCCCTTGACACCGAAAATCACCTATCACCTATGACAACTGATACCCCTTCTTTCAAATATCAAAATGACGGCAAAAGGGTTGGTGACCCAACTGAGGTTCGACAGAAGCAATCCTTCCGCGTCGCGGCCAAAGAGTTCGCGAAAGGCATGGCCTGGTGCCTTTGTTAGACATGATTGGAAGGTTTTGACACTCCTGTGCCCCCATTGGGAGCACGTGAAACATGATGAAGCATATCGAAATTTCCTGTATGGCTCGGATGCTCTTTCTGCAGTTGGAAGTGAGGTTCACAAATTTGGATGGAGTGGTTTGTCCACATTAGGTACAGCAAATGCAAATCTTTTGCACGGTACATTGCATGCCTTGGCAACAAGCCTGAGTCTACAGGCACCACTTCAGTTTAAGTTTAATATGACCTTCCAGCGTAATTCGCGCGGTCAGTTTGTAGGTGCATGCTCAGGACTAAGTATTAGGCACCCCTAATACTTCTATATTTGTTGAGAGTATTGGTTCAGTTAAGGGATCATTCCGGCAGTTCCGTTCACACTAATTATCCTGACTTAAGCTTGCATGTTTTGAAGCCATTTGGCTTCCAGCATGGGATCACACTCAGAAGACCGGGTTGACCAGCCCTTGAAGCTGTGCCCAGGATGATGGCCCCTTTCCCTCGCACCACCAGCCTGGGCAGATCCAAGGCTTTGATTTTGATCTGCCTGCTGACTTTCCCGCTTGTACAAGTCGTACCATGTTCTGGGACGCCAAAGTCGCCAAGTGTTGTCAGACAAGGGAAAGGCAAATGTTGGCAGGTGAGTTCAATGGGAAGGTGCCGCACAAGCCAAGGAAGAATTACATTGGGATATTTGGATGCAGACGGCTACCGCAAGGTTAACATAGCTGCAGCTGGCTGCAAGTTCAACGTTCAACGCTTGGTTGCATGGGCTTTTCATGGACCCCCACCCAGCGAGGCAGCATGGCAGGTGAACCATGTGGATGGCAACGGCAGTAACAATCAGGCTGCAAATTTGGCCTGGGCACCCAGTCTGAGAACATCGGACATTCTTATTCTGACCTTCCAAGAAGCAAGTGCACACACCAATCAAAACCGGTGGTTGTGAACGGGACCCGGTTTGCTCCATTAGTCTAGCAGCACAAAAACTGAAGCAAAGCATAGCGACTGTCAGCAGACGGTGCCACAGAAATGCACAGATTGATGGTTGTGAGTATCAGTTTGTGACAAATAATGAAAAGCTCCCTGGCGAAAAGTGGAAGCCAATGATCAGTCTTGGAACTGGCAAAGCAGTGCCAGGCAGAAAGGTGAGCTCGCTTGGGCGAATCAAGTCCAAATCTGGGCATATAAGTTTTGGTCACCATCGCAAAGACGGGTATCGGAGTACCATTGTGACTGTGTCATCGCAGTTGCATCAAGAACGTGTTCATCGCCTTGTGGCATATGCTTTTCTTGGGCCTCCACCAGCTCCAGAGCACACGCAAATCAATCACCGGGATATGAATAAAAGCAACAATGCAGTTGGAAATCTGGAGTACGTAACTCCTCGTCAAAACAATTTGCATCGTGTTGCCAACCTCAAAGGCCCAAACTCCTTGTGGAAGCCTGTTCTTGGCCGAGCGTACGCGAGCCAAGAGAAGTGGAGGCACTTTCCTTCCATCAAAGAAGCCGCGCAGACCCTGGGTTTGCACGCAAGTAAAGTTGGAATGTGCGCCCGGGGTCGGCAGAAGCGCACCGGTGGCTATGAATTTAGGTTTGCCAATGCAGGGGAAACTGCAGAGGCCAAGTCCCTGCCCGGAGAAGAGTGGCGTGACGTGGATTTGGAGGCCCATCTCCGAGAGCGGGGGATGCGGAGTCCCGATTAGAGGTTGGGACCCCAGAGTGGCGCCCAATTTGCCCATGGACCTTTCCAGAGCTCAGCTTGCACAATCGTGCTCAGTATGTGCTTACTACAATGTGATGGTGAAACTGGGACATGTCTCAGAAAATGGCCATGACCCTTAGAATTAGACAAAGGATCTAACGCCAAAAATCTCCATCCAAGAAAGATAGTGTTGAAGATTTGTTTTTTTGATGTTCCCTTGGACCAATTTCAAGACTTGAGTCATTTTGTGAGCCATGGCCATATCCTTCCTGCAATCATTTGGCCAATGCTCAACATGATGCATTTTATCCTGAGGAGGCTGGTGGCTGAGTCCAAAGTAACGTGTCACCCAAAGGAAGCTTCCAGAGGGGGGAATGCTGGAAAAGATTTGCGCAGTGTTTTCCTGCTGGTGAGCAAGCATTGGCTGGACAGTTCAACGGATTCTTGTTAAGCTACAAATGGAGAAATACAAACCCAGCATTTCAGAATCCTTCCCTGCTCGGTGTTGTGTTTTTTGACTTCTGTTTGCCGTCAAAATGGTCATGGTGGGATCGATAGGCCTCACGTTCTCGCAGGCCCAGTGGTGATCCACCTGACCGCCTCGGGCGATTTAGAACGCCTGGGCAAGAGCTTTGCGCCGGGAACTCGGTGGGAGATGGACATGTTTTATACCTGGACTTGGCATGATTTGGCTGTTAGCTGCTTGGCTGATGGAAAGCAATCTAATTACACAAAGAAGGAAATTACTGTATGGGTTTTGAGTTTTGACCATCCCGATTTTTTTGTTTCGTGTAGTGTAGTTTTTGGCTTTGCCTTTATTTTAAAACCAACTCGGCTGTTGGTTGTGTGATTGATGTTGTGGATGCATGACCCTAGGGGAAGCATGTTCAGGAGGTGCCCCTCAGAGGTCTACAACAGCTGCCTCATTTGTATCTCTTAACTTTGAGGACATCGTCAAGACCGAACTCTAACGTGGAACTCATAGAGGACTGTATTCGAAGGCAAAAAGAATTACGTCCTTTCAAGGTGGTGAAAAGCATTTAACGCTCCAGTTGCCTTTCAGGGGTACCCTCTGGTAATTTAACATAGCTATTGAAAATGGCTATTAATAGTGGATTTTCCCATTAAAAATGGTGATTTTCCATAGCTATGTTAAATTACCAGAGGGTACATTTAGTGTGGGGTGCAATTCTTCTTGACTTCTCATGGCCGGATCACGGATCATGATCTGGGATCGCTGGATCTAGGAACCACGAGCGCTTCAATGGGCCGCGGCCACCAGAGGAGTGATCATTGGCGATGATGGTAGTACTGGTGGTCGACGATGGGGCTGGGTTGATGGTGGTAAGTTGGACACTGCAAGGGATTCAATGTAGAAGCTTGGTGAGAAAAACGAAACGAGGATACTGATGATGTGGCAGTTGCGTTGTGCTGTTGGCACGCCAAGTGCAGTTCTTCTGTGAAACATCCCAATTCGATCCAATGCGCTGGCGTTGTAGCCAGGAGGTGTTGGTTCCGTTCTGGGAAAAGAGCGCCGGGGCACCCAAGGGAAACATTGTTTCAGGATGGGAGTTGTTGGTGCATTCTGGTGGATCAATGTGAATTTTGTATAATTTTGTTTAAAGGTTAATGCGCGGACAAAAAATTGTTGGTGTGCAAATTGTGACCCATGGCTGGCAGTTTAGCGCATGATGTTTTGGTGCCGGACAGTGCTACCGCCATCCCAGAACTTGGGCTGGGAATTAAGGAAGAAGAAAGAGCTGCACTGCGGTGTCGGGGAGCCCGGTCATGCTTGGGCGTTCATTGGAGGGAACGTTCCAGGCTCAGTGAGCTGGGTGTTTCATCAATGAAAACCAGTTGTCGAAGATGGGGCTTGCAAGTTTCCTTCTCTTGGACATTTTCAGGGAACCCACAGTTCTTACTGGACCGCTGCAGATGGTTCTTGCATCAATATGAAGTCCCGTGCTCTCCAATTTACGAGTGCTTCTGAACTTTTGAGCCCTTTGAGAGTAGAATCCGGCAAACATCCCAACTTAAAACAAATATGTGGGATTCAACTTATATTTGAGAAGTTTCCGTGCCTGAATCCTTGTCCACCTTGATGTTGTTCCACGATGTTCCACGTTGTTCCACGCTGTTCCCTCTGCAATCTAGCATCACCGCAGCATGCAGCACATCCTGTTAGAACATGTGCCGCCAGTTGAGGTAACACTGCGTCGGCTCGGGCAGAGACATCCCAGTCTCTTGACTAGGGCTGGCTGGGGCTGCGGAACGGAGTTTCTGTGGTGTTTTGGTTTGGTGGGGTAGTAGCTTCTGATGGTTTCTGACAGATCGATTTGGGATGATTCTGGTATCATTACCAATGCTGATTAGCAGAGATTGCCGGAAATGGGTAGGTTGGCATGACACGCTTCTTGGCAGATGCTAGTCCAAAGTCCAAACCACGCTTAAATGCGTGCCAATTTGAACCAACACTAGCAGCCACTAGCATAATAAATTCACCTCTCCACTGGCCTAGACCATCCATATACCATCCCTAAAGAGCCACTATGTTGATATTTTTCATTTTTTTGTTCATGACATGTTTGGTCAAAATCATTGTTTTCCAGGGACATGGCCCTGACCTCCCTGGCTGAGGATGTTCCGAACCATCAGCTCTTCTCGTCCAAGTCGGGAGCAACGCAGGGGTATCTCAGGGACACGCTAAATGGGTGCAAGGAGAAACAGCGTTAGATGGGATTAGTGGGTGGATGTCGGTTTTCTTTCCATGGCATTAATTCTCCGGCGTTATTTTACGTGTTGATCCAGTTAGATTTTGTGTGGGTTGGGGGTATGTTGGTGTGGAATAGCTCTACATGCCATATCAATGACCTGTAGACTTAACATGTTTGAAGAAGATCTATGACTACCTCAAAGTGGCCTTCCCATCGTAGAAAAACTTATAGACCAATAGGTGTATTGGGTGCCCATCTATGTCCCACTGTAGGTGTAGCGAAGATTAGTGATGAGTGAATTATCCGGCTCTTCTAGTTATATAACTTTTTAACTGTTCACTGTTCTGCTCCCAAACAAGGTATAGTCCCATAGGCATCATTAGCAATTCATTGGCTCAGATTCCACACAGAATCCTGGCAGACCCTTTCCTACTGTACCACCAAGATTCCCTTACTGCAGCCGCCAGTTCCCCCCAAACAGCTCAGCCCAGGTCGAGCCCGTTTGGCCATGACATGCGCAACGCCGTTGCACGGAGTGCCGGCGCCAAGTCGTGGGACGACACCATCCCATGTGGAGGTTCCTAAAATGGGGGTACCCCAATAGCTGGGCGGTTTATAATATTTTAATGAAAAATCATTTTTATATGATTTAAATGGATGATTTGGGGGTACACCAGGAAACCTCCATGTCATCCCATGTTTTCATGAAAACATTCCTCAAGCATGGGACCCACGCAGTGGCCGCAGTGGTTCCCCGCCCCCAGCCATCCCCAGCTCAGGTGAGTGCGTCTCGGAACTTTCTGTTCCAAGAGTACCTCCAGTCCAAGGGAACGTTGACGTCCAGCCGTCCTCAAACGTGCCTGGGATGCAGGTGATGCATGGTGATGCGATGATCGGCCTGAGACGTAGAGTTATACCACTATTACGACTGCCGGTGATCTATGCATATCTATGCATGTTTGGGCTCTTAAAGGATGAGTGGGAATAGGGGTGCGGAACTTATAGATATGGGACCCGGATGTGCTGGCAAGGAACACTTTAGGGGAGTGGGATGTGGCTTGTTGGGGGTTTCGGATTTGATGAATGACATGTAGGGCACTGGTGACCAAGTGATCCAGGTGCTGAAAACAACTGCCTACAATGACCCCAAACATCACCCGAGAGAGGGAGGGAGAGAGAGGTAGATATGCAATACTTTGACCAGAAAGTACCCATTCAAAAGTGAGAAATTATAATTATAAATGATAGATCATGAAAGTGTGTTCTTGGGGACTTGTTTCCTTTCTATTTAATAATGGGTGTATTTTTTCGGGTCAACCTTGGATGGGTAGTAGTTCAGTCATTTTATTACCTTTTTCCCTGGCTAAGAGTAGGACAACAGATCAAACGTGTGTTTTTCTTATGAATAAAATGCACGGTATCTTTGCTTGCGGGTCTAGGATGGTCTAGGTACACATGTGTTCTATGGGTGCAGAAGGGCATCCTGCCCCCGCGAGATCAGGACGGGGCTGTCCAAAAGCCGCAGCGCTGCGGAGATTTTGTCGGAGCCGGGGATGTGCCTTGGAAGCAGATGGTAATAGGTCCATTGGTACGGGCTGATGGAGGTCAATCACCCTGCAACATGAGGCCTTACTTGGTAGGAGGTAAGGCTTTGGAGGGCCCATTTTCCTTCAATACGTGCATTGGTGATATTGGTGTCTTTGATGGCCCGCCTTCACTAAGGCAATAAGAAAGTATCCATTCCTGGTAAGGGGTAGTTGGCAACTCATTTGCACATGGGAATGTGCCATTGCCAGGTTTGGTTCTTGGGAGGTATAGGATTGTGTTTATGGTTCTGCTGTGATGCTCTTCGGGATGACGGTCCAGTAGTCCCCCACTTCAGCACGAGGTCCATGGTGACAGGCATGATTCCAGATCGGGCCGGCTTCATCTTACCGTCACGCCCTGAGATGCCGGTGAATGCCGGTGATATGTGTGGAGCCAGTCGCTTTTGGCGTGGCATTTGAAGCGGAGAGACAGCCCACTTCAAGAGACTTAATCTAAGGATCTCTAAGGTGGGCGTAGGTCTGTCAGCTGGAAAACCCCTTGAAGATAAACTCGATGAACATGGTGGATTTTCTTCACATCTGCCAGGGAACTTACCCCTCAGTTCCCACAATGTGACAACCCAGTTGGCATCGGCAGCACCGTCTAAGGTCATGGGAAGATCGAAAGCAACAAACGCCGTGGGACTCAACACGGGCCGCTGGAAAGGGTCCCAATCCGGTCCAATGTTTCTGTTCGTCTTTAGGATGTTTGTGAGTGGTAACGCGTTTCAACTGTGATGACGCATTTCCAAATACCTGGCAACAAGCAGATAGTGGATGTGTAAATGTTTGCTGGTCCAAACGCAAGGTGAGGCACAGGTGATCCCTGGCACTAATGGATGACAGCAAGTTGCACCTATCTGAACAGATCCCAGTTCTGCCGGGTGTTTCTCAAAATGGAAAGGCGCCAAAATCATCCGAACGTGGTTTGATGGGGAAAGATAGGGAAAGGTTGGATGCTTTTGGAGGGCCATTGGCCAACAAAAAAAACTTAAAATGAGATAAAATGAGAGACCCCCAAATCATGCAAAACAAAGCTTTTAGCGTCCACCATTTTAAGAACACCCCCAATATTGAATTACCACCACAACTGCAGCAAATAAAATGCAAATGCACCAGTTATCACCAGTTACAACTGCAGCAAATGTCACTCCCACTGCTTGGATGGGCCATGTAGCTCAGGCGCATGGTGTGGTCGGGCATGGAACGTGAGCGCTGGGACCAACTGGATTCCTCGATGCGGCTCACGCAAAGCACGGCGTCACTGAGGAGCCCGTAGCAGCTGCAAAGAGAGAACCAACGATGGTATGCGCAGTGTTCAAACCCAGGTTGCTTGATGAATGTTGATGATTAATCAACCACTATATAATTATATATATAGTATATTATACAGTAAAATATATATGTATATGTAAATAGTGATTAATTAACCATAATTAACCACTAATATATTGTACAGTATGTATAGTGATCATGATCACAATCCATAAGGGGAATCCCATTCTCATCCAATCGGGAGATAATGCTTGGATGTAAAGAACCCAATCGGTGGTAACAAAGCGTCTGTAATATGGAGAGAATGATGGAATTTGGGGATATTATGGAGATCATATACGAAGGCAATATTCAATATTGAGATTGTATGGAGCTAATTGGGATGCTTTTGGCATGATATTTGTGAGACTATTGGGTCAAAATATGGGTGTAATAAAATAGCATAGCTGCTCAAACTATCTCAAACTGGGTATATAAGGATTTAAATTAGGGATACTGTATCACATGACATAGCCCAGTTGCAGTATTTTTCAGGAGCATTGAAACCAGTAATGAGTAATAGATGCAGGGTAGAGCTACAAAATTGAGCCACTTTTGCCGCTGCATACGGGCACAGCTCAAACCATTTTATGTCGTATGGCAGGTGCGAATGATAGCCTTTCCGTTCCTTAAGGGAATGGATTGAAAGCTCAGGGCTGATCGCTGTGCGATTTGCGCTCTGTATAAATTTTAAAGGTGTTTCTAGGCTTGACAGTTTAGGAGATCTTAATGTGAGACAAAAACAGGCGTGCAATACATAGTGACATAGTTGTGCAGCACAAGGCCGTAAGACTTTGTCCTCATTTTTGGGACGCGATAGGCGATAATTAGGATGTGTTTATCGTTGTTGTGCTGTGCCGTCAGACTTCTTTGGAAACTGTCTAAGGCAGACTTGTGCTGGGAATGCTGCGGGTATTTGTAAGAGATGCTGCTCTGATTCTGATGTCCTCAGCTGGAAGATTGAATTGTATCATCGTGCCAAAAGACGTGTCAAGATTATACAAGACCAGGAGCAGAAAAGAGGGTCCTTTGCTAGAATGAGTGGTACCTACACAATTCATCACAATTCCACGTCGCAGTTGGAATGAATTGCGATCAGTCTGGCTTTAACTTGTTGAACATGCAGATGCGTCAGACATAGCCTTTGTGCCGCTTTGTGCAGAGCCACAGGTTTGAGCCCCCTCTTTATCGTCTTTAAATGTCTTTTCACCGATCCCTCAGCTATGCGGATTGATGATTAGCGCCAGATGCATCGGGCAGGCTGGACATTACGGTTGGAGAGTGATGGTTTGCATAAAGGATGCTAAGAGAAGAACCAGCCAAATAATGCACTTAGTTGGGACATGTTGGAGCAGCTATGCGGGCGTAGGGTGTTGCAACACTGTTTCTACCATTTTCTTGTGATGGAAAGATAGAATGCCATTAGAATGCCTACCTTTTGGGAGTGTTTGTAGTTTTCCATCTTACAGAAGACAGCATGAGATTTGTTCACGACGACCGGTCAGGATGCTTCAGCTTGTGACTGTTTTTTTCCTGACCCAAAATTGACGAGGGGGTGGTGTTAGTGAGAATCATCCCCTCTTTGTTTGGAACCCACCAGAAATTACCCCACTTATGAACCAAGGATCCTCGCTTCAGGGATCCGTACTTTTAGTTGGTCAAGTTTGTGAACCTGCAGCAGTGTCTTTTTTTGGGGGGGAAAGGGGGGCCCTCCCTTTGCCACAGGTACCAGGTATGGCAGGTATGGCTTGGCAGCTTGGGCTGTTGGGGGCCTCAGCGTTTTGATGTCAGACATATCATTAATTAGAGTAGATTCTGTATCAGACCCTTTAGCACTCTGGACCGACATTGATCATTTTGGACATTGGACTTCTCAACCTTTTTGGGGTGCCTTGTTATTGGCACCTTCCACACATATCTATTATGTGAGCCCAGTTCTCTTGTATAGGTCGGTGTTGCTGCTGATTGTCGCTGATGATATTTTCAACGTTCCGTTTTATGCTCCCAACAAGTGAGTTTCACCTCTGTATTTGATGGGGAAAACCACGGCTTCCGATTGTACAAGATGTTCCCTCAAATCTTCCCAATAAACCAATCGGAACATGATTCTTCCAACATAAGCCACATATTGTATCATATATCCCAGATTCTTCCAACATAAGCCACATATTATATCATATATCCCAACTGTATTCCCATTATTATATTTGCCGAATCCCCAATTATGGATGGTTTATTATTGCATTCAACCGTCAGTAGATCAGATACTCAGCGTAGATATTCAAAACCCACAAGAAAAGTAGATCATGCTCATGACAACCAAATAGAAGTGTTTCCATATTGTTGTGGTCGTTAAAGGATTAATTCTACATGATTTTGCTAGATAAATCCTCCTTTCTGCTAAGTCAATCACCGCAAATCCCTTGTGTAAATTGAGTCATCTGTCCATATGGAGAGTGCAGTCAGAAATGGTGATCAAAGGGACAATCCCGTTTCAGTTCTTTCCACGGTTTACCATTTATACCCTCTGGTAATTTAACATAGCTATTGAAAATCACCATTTTTAATGGGAAAATCCACTATTAATGGCCATTTTCAATCGCTACGTTAAATTACCAGAGGGTAGTGGTAGTGACAGTATCCATGATCGCCATACCTTTCCAGGTGATCCTCCTATGTCGCCTCGATGCGTCCAGTGGCCCGGTTGGGGAGCATCCAAGGGAGATGGGTGTTGTATAAAGCATCCACATGGGGTGGTTTATGACATGGCTTTACTAACATCAGTCCAGTTGGGTGATTACCCTCTGGTAATTTAACATGGCTATTGAAAATGGCCCATTTATAGTGGATTTTCCCATTAAAAATTGTGATTTTCCATAGCTACGTTAAATTACCAGAGGGTAACTTTTTTTTACCTAAACAAAAACGGACTGGATCGGCAAATGTCAACTGAAGTTGTAAGGACAGGTCATATGTTGGCACAGCAACATGTAACAATCAACATATATCAACACCTTGACTTCACTCCTGGCATCGTTTCATGTCCGAGCACACCATACCATCCACACCGATCCTGCCGGAGCCCAGGTGGCGCTTCTTGCTGCTGGAATTTGACGAGGTGACCCTTGATGCAAACCTTCAAAGGCAGCGGGCACGAAGGATCCAAGACATGGCTAGGGTGGCTATTGGGACATCTCCCACTTGGATAAATGGGATATCTTCTTGGGATCCAATTAATACCTTCAGGTGTCAAACCCGGCCGGGAATTCACCCATGTGTAGGTGATTTGCTTGCTAGCATGTTGGATTTTCTACTGATTCTAGTGCGTTAGTGTCATGTTCAATGTTGGGTTGGCAGAGGTAATTTGCTAAGGTATTTTCATTGGGATGATGTCCCCAATCAACTTCCATTATTTTGATTTTGACATCTTCTTGGGATATATTTGAATAGAGAATGATGGCAGTCAATGTGTGCTTTCGACGACTTTCACACCTCATTTGCATCCATTTGCACAATCCGCATAGCCCCACCATGTCCTATAGAAGATGTCGTAGGCGTGCGGTGCTGCCGTTTGCAGATCCGCGAGTGAAGAGGCTGGAGTCGGGCTGCCTAGCCTGCTGTGCAGTGTCAGTGCTTGGAGCAACGTGGATGGACTTTACGGTTTGCATTTGAGTTTTTTTTGGGGGGGTCGTTTTACCAACGTGATTCATCAATATAAGGTCATATTATCAACGCAACAGGTGGTTAGGCCATGCTAAACCAACAAACAGGTTTCCTTCTCAAGAGTTTTGTTTGAAACATTAAGTCAGGTCCCCAAAAAAAAAGTGTTCAGCATGATTTACAACGTAGTTATGCGGATGAACAGGATTTGGAACCCAATACCAGCGCATGCCCGGCTCTGAGACACGCCGTTTCAAGGTCATTGCTGCTTCACTCCACGGGGGAGGACAAGCAACTGGCTCAGCCCGTGGAACGTCCTGGGGATACCCAAGGGACAAAGATATGCTCCTTTTTCCATCAAATTTAGAATGATGACGCCCAACAAGAACCACCATCACTTACTTGTTCTGCATCAAAACCCCACCTATACTGTGAAATCTGCTACATGCCCATACTATTCCCAACGCATTCCCCATGTTTGATATTTGGAGCCACTAATCCGTTTCCACCGAGGTTTAATTTCACCTGTGGCGTGGTCGATGAGGGCATTGGTGATGCAGAGGTAGCCACCTAGGGTTTATTCATCGAGCCTCCAAATACCTCAAACAATTTGTAAATTACATGGTAAAACATGATAAAACACCATTTTTACAGGGACTTGGAGGGTCTAGGTGTTTACTTATCACCGGCTTTACTACTCTTCACCTCCCCATGTATCCCCATGTTCGATTGTGCAATATTGTGCACTACATTCCGTTCGACGACAGCGGAACTGCAAGCGGACTTACAGGGGTTCACTTCTAAGCTGATGACTCATTCTCAGCTAGAGATCCTGTGGGTGGGACAATGGACGTCAATACAGTCGTTTTGAATAAGCAATATTCGTTTCTGGCTAGCTATGTGCCCAACCCCTAGCCAGCATCTAGCCAGCAAGCTCGCCATGTTCGAACATGTAAAGAATGGCAGATGTGCCACCAGTGGCAGATGTAGCATATATAGATTGGCAGAGTTAGCAGGGTTTTCATGTTCAACAGATTGAGGCATCCAATGTGTATCTTTGTAGGCAATCAGCAGTTGGAATGGCTGGCCAGGTGACGCTTCAGTGGGAGGCTGACGTGGATCGCGCAAAGAAGCCGCCTGGAGGTCGCGGACGCAGGCGGATGGCATTGCGCTATGCGGTCAGTGGCAGCATGCAAACATCAAAATCAGATCAGAACCATCATAAAATGACCATCAATTATTTACATATTCAATAATTCAATAGACACCATAGAAATTTATGATGTTCGATGTTCTCATGTGTGGTGGATTCTTGGTAAGGCCAAAGCCCAAGTCTGTGGAGGTGTTGTTCACCTCGCCCCTGCGTGGCTTGGCCTTGGGAAGCACTGGTAATGATGGTGATGGCAGGTAGGAGTGGGTTGATCTGGGTTTCAGAATCTCATGATTTCTTCAAAAGGGGCTGTATGTATTGAAGGCATATCACAATGTAAAGGTTTTAAGAACAGGAAATCCGCGCGATGTTGAACAGCAAATCTGATGTTTTCCAAAAAAAAGCTGCGACCACCAGCACACACCATTCACATCCATTCACACATTTTTCCACCCATGACCTTGGTTGGTGGTCTGGAACATTTTTTTATGTTCCCATATATTGGGAATGTCATCATCCCAACTGACTCGCATATTTTTCAGAGGGGTAGGTCCGTCAACCACCAACCAGAACAGTTTTCCCCTTGCGGCCTGAGGCGACTCCGGTCTTCCCAGGCCGCGGAAGCATTTGTTGCGTGGACCCTGGACAACAGAGGGAAGGGGATGCTCGTTTCGCTTGCCGCAATGGATGTCAAGAGTGGATAAGTATGAGGCATCAAAGTTTTGTGTTTAGGCCTTAATTTTCTTCAGGTCATATTTTTGGAGTTGGTATCGATGTGTGAAGCTTTAACGTGCCCGGTGACTTCATCCCACAATGTGTTTTTTGATAGAAACCATTGAGAATCCTTTGTTGGCACGATAGGATGCCGCAACACGTTGTGCTTGTGCGGTTGGTGGTTTCGGACCGTTGCCAAGTTGTCAACCCTTTCTTTCTAAGTTTGGGCGGTTCATACCATTGTCTCACCGACTGTATTGGTGAATCCTTCACCAGCAGTTTTGAGATGGGATTAGGTCATCAACTAATAGATAATACATGGATTAATTAACAAAATGGTTTATACCAACGATTTATGGTGATTTAGGGGATTGTTTATTATTGTTCTACCCTACATTATATTATATATATATAATGTGGCATGTTAATATGACAATATATGAAAGTAATCAGCTTGATAATAGTCAGCTATATAATAGTAATCAACTTGATAGTCAATATGTTTTATGATTATCAATATATATATATACATATATATATATGAAAAAATTGAAAAGAATCAGCTTGATGATCCCATATGATCACCAGGTCTCCAGGTTGGGAACACCACCAAGGCTGGCCATCCCGCGGCCCTCGCAGCTGGAACGTTTGCTGCCTGGGGCCTTGGTGAGGGGAAGCTGTGCCAGGTGGTGCTAAGATCATGATCAAAACAGTGCCAGTTTGGATACTTCACAAATCATATACCAAACTTTGATAAACTTTGTATTTGTTGTATACTTTATTCCAATCTCAAACCTATATCAAAGTGCTTGTCCATCTTCAAAGATGAGGGATGATATGGGGGTATAGACCTGAGATTCTCACACATTTGATGTTGAAGCAATGTTCATGACATTTCACAAACCAGCAGGGAAACGCTGGGAAATGGAACTGTTGGGATGTTCCATGCTGCAAGGCCGCGAGTTGCTCAGATGGGCGCGGGGGCCCCTAGGCCCCAAGGTATCCTTTCTGTGCATGGGCAAGGACAGGTTGAGGAGATTGAATCAGATTGAACATTTGTGGGTATGTTGTGATTAGTAGGGTTGATAGATTTGAAATTGTGAAAACACTTTTGCTGGGAGATTGCCCACATACACCATGGGCTGTTAAAGGGTACAAGCAGGGTAGACCTTTATTTCTATATTCAAGCGTGGAGAACTTGATCCAGAGCCTTGGTACCTCCCCAACCTTGGTGATGGAAGGATGGAAGACCCCTTTCACCGAGGTGGGACACCTGATCCTTTGTGGTGCTTCCAAAGTGGACGCCAACTACTTCAGGAGCTCCATTGTCATTTTGAAGGATTTGGGCATAAAATGAATATGTATGTTTTGATTTGAGTGATGGCAAAATCCGTTGACTTATGATGCACCAGAGGGGTTCACCATGAGTAGCTTTGAGGCATCACTTGGTCCAATTCTTCATTCTCATATTGAGAACCTCTCTCCGCCATCCGTGGGATCAAACCCTTCAACAGCCTCATGAGCATCAACACCAGCACGACCTGCCTACCGAAAAGATGATAAGTTGGTATAGCCGGAAAACAAGAAGTGCAATCCTTTATTAGAAAAAAAAAGCATTTTCTTCAAATCTCATTTTTTCAGGTTTTGCCCGACAAAGAATATCAGGGACAGAAGATCCGTTAGGAGCCACGTCATGGAGCTGCAGTACCTGCGGAAGTTCCTGGGCCTGGGACTCGCAGGGGTCGGAGCCTTACAGGTGTCCGGACGGTACCTGAGTTGTTCATGCGTCGGGCACGTGATGATTTCATGATTTGAAGGGCACATGAATATGAAATATCAATAAATATCATGCAGTTCTTCATGGTATGATATGATAACCTATTCTGAATGAAATTCCTGATGATTTTCTAGCCACTGGCACGTTCCTATTGCATAAACAATCATTTAATAATGATGTATGTGTGCCAATGCCTCGAGGCATCTCGAGGCTGATTTTAGGGAGAAAATTAGGCTAGGTCACGGAGCATACGGAAAACCATGATGTTTGACCATCCATAATATCATCATACATCCCCAAGTATATAAGGTGTTCAGATGTTTTCAGACTTGATTGTCAATCCGTTTCGATTCAACATCTATGAAAGATATCCTACCGGACCGACCCCCATTCTTTTCAGCATCTCGGGCAACTGCGCCGAGGCTGAGGACCCGATGATGCCGAAGATCACGGTGGAAGCGGATCTGCAGGAGCTGGGCCTGAGACGTCGACGGGGGGGAGCTTTGCGGTAGGTTGGGTGAAGTTTGGAATGTTGATGTTTAATCAATGTTTATAGATATGTTTATTGTTTATTATTGTTTATTAATCAGTGTGTTGTGCTTGATGCTAAATTCCAGGGGGTTCTAGACACATCCAGAAACTGAAGTAATTTGATGCTTGTACATATTACACTAGATTTGCTTGTGTGTCTGGCCTTTGCCTGCAAATGAAATTTTGCAGCCCATGAGCGCAGGTTAGTTCACTATAACTAGTGTTCAACCTTGTGGAGATGTCATGAGATGTCCACTAGATACTAGAGACATACTTTTTTCCCCATAACAGAGGGGCAGACCAGGAGCTTTTGGAAGGCAAAAGACTTCAGCAGATCATCCCAGGCCATTGAGATGCTGAGTGTTATTGCTGTAGTCGTTTTTTGCAGTTTTCTAATGATGTTTTTACTGTGATTACCTCCGATATTTCAGAGGTCTGGGCATGCCGTGGAGAATGAAAGTGGTGTTGCTCATGCATGTGTTTGGTCCAGCTTTTTTCGGGGACTTGGGGACACACTGAGCTCTTGGCTGTGGTTGCCCATGAATATACATGTGGCCGACTTTGACTGTAAATAAAAGCACGTCAAAGCCCATTATCACAGGCATGTTGAATCAAAAAAACTCCCACCATTTTCACAAAGGTTTATGTGACCCCGGAAAAGAGAGGCCTTATAGATGTGACAGGTATGAATATAATGGCCGGGGCCGGGGTTGATGAATAGAGGGTGCGAGTCAGATTCCTCTGGTTTCAATCTGGAAGGTGCTGTATCCCGTGTTGTGGCACATCCAACGCCATTGAGTGATGGGGCACTGCTGGAGGACTCAGGGGTCCCAAGGGGATGGCTGCATGGTGGCCAGAGGTTTGAATCTTCAAGGCATGATGGACATTGAGGCAGTTCATACATCAGGCAGCATCATCAGCTTGCTTATAGCTAGCACTGCAGAATGTTTTATCACACATGTGTATGCTTGCAGCCCACAAAAGATACAAAAGTGGCCGGCACTCATAACTGAGGGTTGACACTACGAATGGCAAAGGCCCTGTGTATATCTCAAGCCTGTAGCACGCAGAGACGGGATGATGTGAATGCTGGCTGTTGCAACCCTGCAAGCCTGGCGTCCCTGCTCTGGGTTTGGATGTTTCCTCCGTTCAGCCGTTCGCTGCCTATCAAGCCAGCAGCTTCAAAGTTCAAGCAAATGCTGGCAAGTAAGCTCCTTGGGCAGGGTTCGCAGCACTTTTGGCGTCATATCGAGAGGAACACTCACTCCAGAAGGATATTGTGCTGTCAGAATCGGTAGGAAAACTTGGCCTGTTCATCGTGTAGTCAAACTTACGCACGATGGCTGCCCCCCAAGCCCTGAGGCGTGGCAGGTACATCACCGAGATGGCAATAAGGCAAACAACGCGTTGAATAATTTGGAGTACGTCACGGCAGCTCAGAACCAGCTGTATTCCCATGCCACCGGCGTCCGAAGGGATTCTTGGCACACTCAGTCCAGGCCTGTTGTGTGGAGGGTGATTGGAGGTCATGAGTGGTCACATTCCTGTTCGATCGCGGCTGCAGCAAAACAACTTGGCATTTCCGCTGGAACAGTTTCGAGAAGCTGTTGCACGAGCTCGCCGGCCGGAGGCTACGAGTTTCACTTCCGAGACCTTGAAGAAGCAGAATTGGATGAGGAAGAGTGGCGACCAATGTTGAATCCTAATTCGGGCGTCCAGATGCCTGGGAGATTTGTTAGTTCATATGGAAGGATTAAATCACTTCACGGGCATGTGACCCGAGGCCACCTCAGTGTTTCTGGATACTACGAAACCAAACTTCTCAAGCAGACTACCAGGGTTCACCGCCTTGTGGCACTTGCTTTTTTGGGACCTCCTCCTTCATCTGCACAAAGTTTGGTGAACCACAAGGATTTCAACAAGGGAAACAATTCAGTTGAAAACCTTGAGTACGTCACACCAGCTGAGAACTCCGCCCATTTCTTTTTAAGCATGGGTTTCAAACGAACAGCAGGAGTCAAGCCCGTTTGCAGCAGAGTTTGTGGCAGCACTGGCCTATGGACTTTGCACGACTCGATATCCAGCGCTGGAAGGACTCTAGCTGTGAATACCGGAAGCATTTCCCAGTGTGCTTCCGGAAAGATGAAGCAGGCTGGCGGTTACGAGTTTCGGCTGGCTGATTCAATAGAACACACAGAAGAAACGTGGCTGGGCGAAATTTGGCGCGATGTGGACATATCTGTGCTGCTGCAAGACCGGGACAGCAGACGGCAGAAAAGTACCAGCGGGTTATATATATATAATATATTATATATATTATATATATTATATATATATATAAATATCGCTTTCCTTCATTTTGTGATGCCAATGTAGCTGCATATGTATGTTCATTGTGTTCCCCACCTGCCAGGTGAGGGTCTCTAGATTTAAAAAAAGGTGCAACTCCTCTTCGTCTTCTTCTTCTTTTTCTTCTTCTTTTTCCTACTTCTTTTCCTTCCCCCCGTGTACTCCTCTTCCAGCTCGTCGCAGATAGAATGGCAGAATAGAATGTCAGAATAGATGCCAGATAGAATGCCAAAATAGAATGTCAGAATAGATGCCAGATAGCATGCCAGAATAGATGCCAAAAAGAATGTCAGAATAGATGTCAGATAGATCTGAAAGAATGCCAGATAGAATGCCAAGAGAAAATGTCAGAGTAGATGCCTGAAAGGAATAGAATGCCAGAATAGAATGCCGGAATAGAATGTCAGATAAAGTTCCAGAATAGAATGTCAGAAAATATACACATTTATTTATATATCTATATTATATACCAAATATATTCATATATATATATATATACTTCCAGATGAGATGTCAGAAGCTATGACAAAACAACTTGTCACTCTGGGGGTCGCTCGAAGTACAGTTTACGTGTTTTGCTGATTCGGATTGGCCCATTGTCTCCATCTCTGACTCTGTGAGAGTCACTGTTTTCCAATTGATTGTTTGATGGCATTACTTCACTTGCCTACCATTGCATTAGATTGTTTTCCATGGGAGTGTTTTTTCGATCCCAGCCACTTTCTGGGTGTATAAGGGAGAGACGGCTAATTATGGCAGTCTGAACTCAAAGATATGGCAACCAACTGCGCAAATCACTCCGGATGCGCCGGGGGGTTCTCACTGTGTTTGTGTGTGTGTGTGTTTCTGTTTCATGAGGTTTTTTACATTATCGCCGGATTCATCGCCGACTACGCAGGCATAGCGGATTCTTGGGGCCGACTTCATTCATTCTGAAGATGTGTCAAAGTGAGGGCAAAATATGACTGAGTCACCTCTTTGCTTACCTCAAAGAAAAGGACAATTGGAACATCTTTGAAGGAATGAACCTGGGTTGGTTTCACAGGGCGGTGGCTACACTTCTTGATGTCGGCATGCGAAACTTCATTGCGTGCAGAGTGAATTTGACTGAATATGTTTGCGTCATCGCTTGGGCCGCAAGCAACCAGGTTCTGATGGCAATTGGCAACTGCCTGAGTTCATATCTGTACTGTGTGCCTCTTATGTCAACTTTGTGTACTTTGTAGAGAGATGATGTCGGCAGGTCTGGAAAACCCCATGCGATACGATCAAACCTGTTGAACACGTTTAAACTGCAGCATAGTCAGCCTTGAATTTACACTGATTGCAAATGTATTGTTTCGAGCATTTCCGGCAAAGGTCCTGAAGCAGGCTGGGAAGAGTTCGGGGAACCTAGGGCAGGCTGCAAAGGGGAAAGGGTGTTTCGGTTGCAAAGACTTCCAGCTGATCTCGAGGCCCTTTTCTCAGGGAGGCTGGGAATAACACTAGAACTACCACTAACTTGAGCAACAGCAATTGATTCGGCCAATGTAGGGATGATACTCGGCCAATGTAGGGATGATACTGCCAATACTTGGCATATAGAGTCCGACGGGTTCGATCCCATGTCCTGATGCTCCTCCCAGGTCAGAACTCGAGATGCTGCACACTCAGCTGGTGCAGTTGTCTTACATTTTTCCTATGGCCCTGAAGTTTATTTTGAATCACTAGGGGGGGCTGCCTTATATGACCTGGAAATTCGACATGCCACTGCTTGGAGCATTCAAATGCTGACTGACAGCATTTTAGCGCTCAGATTGTCAATGGTGTGATGTTCCAGGGCAGGAGGTGTTTGATGAAAGTGGTTTGGGCACTGCTTTAGAACATATTTGAGGGCCTATTTTTGTCTTTTCACTCGTCCCCAAACACAATACAACTTCAGCCCATTGTTTTTTTGCCGAGGTTTGCTGCTGCAGATTTCCATGCGGTTTCTTTGGGCCCCCGCGTCTTGCGCTCGGAAGTGGCCACTGTGGCAGCACTGGCGAGGAAGCCAAGGACCGTTGGAGGATGTTGCAGGTGTTGTATGACCATATTCTTAGCTGTGTAGGTTTCAGTTAAGCCTCAGGTATAGTAGGAACTTGGTACAAAGACATAAGAGACTTTCTGGAGTTCAGACATGCCGACATATCCCACAGTAATATGATCCCAATATTTTTATGCCTCCTCACCCAGACCGAGTTTCCAAGTCCATGTTCTCATAATTTCGATTGTTTATTCTTGTTTCTGGAAAGGAAAGCCCAAACTATTAAAAAACAGTTCGGGCGTCGAGCATGACCCATTTGTAGCAACACTGGCGTGAGCCACTTCCAACCCCGTTTTTTCAGAACCCAGCTGCGTGACAAGGCCCTGGCAGAGCAAATGCTGATTCAACCAGCTTTGCGGTGATTGCTTAGTGAGGTAGAGCCAAAGTGCCTCAGGTGCAGGAAAACGGCGGCTGAACGAATCATCCTTTGCTGCTGGATTTCTTTTGTTATTATATAAATTCACATCATCCATCATCATCCCGATTCATAAGGTGTTCATGTGCAAACATGACAACGCCGTGGGCGTTGGAACCCTGGCCGAATGGAGGAAAGTCTTGTCCAAGTCGGAAACGCTCATGATGAAACTTCTGCTGCTGCGTGGCTCAAAACGTGTTGACATCAGTTTGGAAAACATGGAACGAACATGCGGCGGAAAGCTCCACGATGCAAAAGGCCTGGAGTCGCGAGATTGGCATTGCCATCTCTGACCTCAAAGATTTAGTTTGATGTTTGGTTTTCGACCTTTTCAGCCACTACCAATACTTTTTGGTATTGTACAGGTGTCTTTGAACCAAGAATCACATGACATCGACGACATGGACAGCTGAGTGCCCTTACAAGCAAAGCAGATCATCCAGCCCAGTCCCGCCATTGCTGGAAAATGAGTCCGCTTACTCCGCGATAGTCCCTGTGCAATGCGCCGGATAAGACCTCATGTGGGGGAACCCTAGCAACTGGATGGTGATGGGGTCCTGACGGTTATATTGAAGATGTTGAGTTTGGATGAGTTTGGAAGGTGACGGGTTGTTATTTGCTTTGGATATCATGTTTTATTATGTTGGATTTGGGTAGCCTACCATGAACAAGTTGTACCTGCGTCAATTCTGCTGGATTTGTGGGTCATTACATGGCACCCTTGGGGTCCTATTAACATGGCTTCAATGTGATGTTCGTATTCCCAGCACCCGACCCTGCTTCTGTAGGCCGGTCCCGGGTTCGCAACGGCCAGCAGAACCTGCAGGGGAAACTCAGAAGCGTTGAGAGAAAGTGAGAGATGATTGCTAGATTTTGCCACTCCAGCACGGTTTCTGAAGGTACAGTCGGTGGGGTCTAGGACTTGACACCCTTGAATTCAAGTTGCCATGGACACATTGGACTGTGTAAATATGGTCACTTCTTTCGGAGGCGGTTGTGTTTTAACTTTTAAGTGGCATGATAAATGAACAAAGATGAGAAAGATGAAGAACACAGGATGCTCCTGTGCAGTAAGCACGGCCATAAACATCAGAAACATTCAGCGACTACTTGTGGCTGAACTCTTGGCCCAGCAATTGCCTTTCCAAGGCCCTACCGCCACAGCCTTTGCAGGCAGTGGTTGATAGCAACCCTCAAGCTTCCATGCTATGCACATAAGATGTGATGCAGCATAAGCATGTCTCCAAAGTCCAGTTGGTTGGGATCGAGTGCACTTATGAAGTGTTGTGTTTGTTTCCAGGTGGTTCTTGATTTTAACCTCGCAGATTTGCATGCCAAATGCTGTTTCCCCACCTTAGGCTTGCAAATCATCACTTGTGTTTTGCCTGGTAGACTCGGCTTCTCATGCCATGCAGCTATGTGGGCCCTATCGTCCCATGACAAGGGCTTTGTTCACATCCAACCAGCACCCAACTTTCACATGGGTGTCGGTATGTGTCAAACTCACCACCCCTTCAAAACGCAGACCTCAATATACTCAAGACGCAAGATGATTAAAATGTGATCCTTCTGTGGGCCAATTGGTACATATTCGCACACCAGGCAACAAAGCAGGAAGCCGGCAAGGAAAATCGTCCGGGCACCACTGATGCGATTGGATTCCCCCAAAAGGCATAGCTGATGTTTGCTCTTGTTAATAAATGATTATATATCTACTCCAGAAACCTATAAGTTTATAGTTTTGGGAAACCTAAGTTTTGGATATTTTTGTTTGGAGGTATTCATGTTTAGGACGCGGTTCGTCGAGCAGTTTGGATTCAACAAGGTGGAGATTAGAAACCAGTCCGGCAGATTCATTGGAGGTGTGTCCAGTTGAGGATTCTCTTGTTTCAGCTTTTGTACACGGTCACTTCAAGAGGATTTATAGGGGCTGCATTAGCTGCAACTTGCGCCTTAAGAATATAGCGCCATTAAATACGGTCCCATTATATCCCATTAAATCGTTATTTGGGATGATTAAACCATGTTAAACCCAACATTTTCCCATGAAAATCACACCGAAATTCCCCAGTGAGATCTGCTCGGTACATCCAAGGGGATGCCTCAGCACGTCCTGCAGCAACTGGTGGAAAGCCAGCTGCACGAGGTGCATTCGATGGGTTGGTTCGGAGGTTCATCCCACACTGGTTGGTGGTTTGGAACATGACTGGATTATGACTTTCCACAGGTTGGGACTTTCATCATCCCAACTGACTTTCATATTTTTCAGAGGGGTAGGTATACCACCGACCAGCACACAAAAATGAAACGTTGAGGAAGGCAAAAGGCACTTGACAGTGGACATGTATGACTCATGTCTGGAAAGCCATGTTTTTTGATGTTCAAAAATCAGCTACTAAGAATTGGGAATATCATGCACAACGTGGTTTGCACCACCATGTATGGAACATAAGCTGAAGCCACGATTGGTTTCCAAAATGCCACAAGGTCCGTGGAAGATAAGTTGCATTGGCATCCTCCAAAAAACAGTTAAACTTAAGACTTAAGATCAAAAGTTCCTCCCTGCAGCCGTCCTTCCCATGCATGCACCGCGCTAGGGCTGACATGGAGGGGCTGCTGGGGCATGGAAACCCAGACGGTGCGGAAAGGGAATTCAGCTTCAAAGCCTGAATGTTTTTTTTTCATGACCTTTCCACATTGCAGGGATATAGGGATGGGATATCACTCATATACCATTTTAAACATTGCCACGTGGTGAACTGGGTCTTTGATAAATGGGATGCGATGACAGTCGGCTGAGGTTGTTCCTCCTCCGAGATTGGCATCTACGTTTTGGCCACCATGGCAGGGGCCCAATGGAACATGAAACTTTGGAATCCTTGGGAGTGATGAAGATGTGGACTCTTATAGGATCAAACAAGGTGGGCGTGAATATGCGTGCATTCAATGAAGATATGGTGTTTCTTTCAGTGGCAATAATCTAGTGATTGTAGAGTCTAATGAATCACATGACATGGAAACATGATGAAGTATGTATGCCTCACCCACACTGGACCTCACCAAAATCAACCTGCTTCACCTGCCAACTAGCATCCCCTATCTATCCCCATGGCCTTAAAACCAACAATTACAAATTCGTGATTTGAAATAGAATATAGACTGGTTGGTGGTTTGGAACATGACTTTTATTTTTCCATATATATGTATATATATATATATTTTGGGAATAATCATCCCAACTGACTAATATTTTTCAGAGAGGTTGAAACCACCAACCAGTAGAAAAATTGATGAAAATCCCATGATCCCCAAGTTATTTCACTATTTCACTAGCACCTTTTTTCGGACTTCGAAAATCCCATGGTGCCTCCATGTGCCCCAAGGTTGGACACATCCATCTCCAAGCCCTTGGTGAAGGCGAGTTATCTCGGCATTTTTGGTGATGTTCAATCCCTTTTCAAGACATTTGGTCAAAGAAACATGAGTTAATGACTGAAGAATACAACAGATGTTTATAAATGGTTGTTTGAAGCATACCACAGATGTTTTTGTTGATGTTCTTTGTTTGAAGGGTATACCTAAGGTTTACCATAGCGGGAGACGAAGATTTGGCGGTGAGTGTTGTACCGAGGCAATGATGCTGAGTACAAGGCAGCGTTGCAGGATGTTCGTCGACTGCTGCAGGACTATCTTGGAGAAGCGGAATCCTCCTCCTGGCCATGGGGATTTTTGTCTGGAACCCCGAGATGTTTGTTTGGAAACCGATATCACCCAAAAGGATGTTGCCCTTGAACATGCGGATTTTCACAGCGACGTCCGACACATGTGCAACCAAGCGGGCTAGGGCCCTTTTCCAGTGTACTCAATTAATTAAGTATACGTAGTTGAAACATGACATCAACTTTAGTTGGTTGAACATGATTAATTTTGAATCACCACAACTGTGGGCATATTCCAATTTTACTTGGTTGGGGTAAATGGTACCATATTTTATCCCCCGAATGGACCTCCGGAGGAGTCTTTGCCAGCCAGTGCGGTTTTGGCCAATGTGAACTGGGTGCGAGGGCACAGCTGCGAGGGTAGCCGATCAGGGTTGATCAAGGAAAAATGTGGCGAAGTGACCGGCAAACCCCGTTTGTTGCATGTTTTGCATCTTTGCAAGTTTGGTGAACATACAATGTTCAAAACAACATCTACAAGAGTATAGACTATAGGGTGAGTTATAGAGCTATAGGGTGTTGATGGTGAGTAATTTATTTATTTAGATCGGTGGTTCAATTCAAGCCATGCATGTTGAAACCAGGATTTTGGAATGTGTTTTTTTTTCTTCCGACAGTGTTGGTTTACCTCCAAGCTCCTTATCATTTACTGAGATGAGATTAAGATGACCCTCTCCCGTTTCCCCCCATGATCTCATTTTTTGTAGCTAATTAGACAGCAACCCAACAAAATCCTGAACTTACACCTCAAACCCCAAGTTAACATTTTTCAATCAAACCAACCACTATTTTCCCATGTTTGTAGGTTCTAATGATTCTATTGGTTATAGCACGGCTACCTTTCCAACTACAATACTAGAATACTATATTAGTGTCACATAACTATACAGAATAGAAAACGTATATTCCTACTATCATAGTGCTACATAATTTGATTAATGGTTTGGAACATTATTTTTCCATATATTGGGAACAATAAACCAATTTGACTTTAATATTTTTCACCGGGGTTGAAACCAGCAACCAGATATAGATGATTTACCCACTAACCATCATCAACCATTAACCATCATTAACCATCATTAACCCTCCATTATACAAAGTGGGGCGCCCTAGATAGCTAAGTTGGTTTATAACTCCAATAACTATGGTTTATGGTACTTATAACTATAGTTACTGGGGGTTATAAACCAACTTATAGCTGGGGGGCCCCACATTATAGTTAATTTTCCGAAACCATGGGTCTTCCAGGGCTTACTATGCTACACCGGCTCGCGAGGCCAAGGCCTGTCCCCAGGCCAGCGGCCGGATGGCCGAAGTGGCCATCGTTGGAACCAGCACTGCGTGCGCCCCGCAATGCCGGTTATAACGGTGGTGTATCAATGGGGATCTAAGAAACCTATCCATAGCTGGGATGAACTGGGGATGATGGAAGATTTCACTATGGATGGATTAAATAATTATGGGTTATATGGTAATATATGGATTAACTATGGTATAATATAGATATATTTACTGGTTGCTGGTTTGGAACATGACTGGATTCTGACTTTCCAGAAACAGTTGGGAAGTTCATCATCCCAACTGACGAACTCCATCATTTTGCAGAGGGGTGGCTCAACCACCAACCAGTTTCATGTTTGGAAGCTTTTAGATGAGGAACTATGGGTTGGTCCAAACATGGCTTTTGGGAAAAGGTGCCTCGTTGCGTCCCCGAGAGGAGGAAACCCCAAAATACTGTATGGACTATGGCGACAATGGATTGAAACTGACTAAAGTGTAGCAACCTTGCAACGGCCTCGCCATAACAGATAGATAGATAGATATATATATATATACTAATAAATAATTACATATAGTTTGTCAGGAAGAGGAATCACCCCCAAGAAAAGTTTGTTACAGGTTTACTATGTTTGTCTTATCATCATTTTGCCCCAGGTTAACATCCTGCAGATCCCTGGTGAGCATCAAAATAGCTGGTAGCCTGGTAGCTCTAGGGGTTCATCCCACAGTTTTTAGCCCGTCCTTGGGAAGAAGGCGCCATCCACTATAGACAAAATCTTGGGATGCAAAGGAACTTCAGAATCTATTGATTTGTTTTTATTCTATTGCCACAAGCTCCTCTTTGTTGGGCAGAACAGCCCAGTGCAATGCAACTGGTCACATATATGATCACATATGCACAAGTAGGATACGATTCCATTTCGCTGCTGCCATTTTTACGATCCGAGCCTGCTACATCTGAGAGTGAACCTCTGATACCAACGGATGCGCCTCGTCCTACCAGCAGGTTTGGGATACTTGGGATATTTCAGGGCAATGTTGTTTATAGAGATACCACTGTAAGTCTTTTTGGCCTTAAAACATGTTAGGCCATGTTAGGTATGTGTCCTGTGCTGGCATTTTTCCAAGAAATTTTCAGGGAGAGCTTCCCCGGCACGGTGCGGCACGGCCCAGAATCTCTAAGGTGCAGCTGCCCGCTACATCTTACATAAGGACCAGGCCCGGCACCAGCGAAGTTCGAGGCCGAGCTGGGGCTGCAGTTGATGGGTTGGTGAAGATATGAGACCGGCAGGCCAGTAGGCCAGCACAACTTAAAATCATTGAGAATTTAAGAATTTTTAAGGTGCATGTTGTAAGGTCATGTCATACTAAATGATTCAGTTTGAGGTATACCACCCAACTATTTACTTAAATTAGTTTAACGGTTTGCCAATTTGCAGTTTTAAACTAGTTGTCACTAACCTTGGCATCAAATGTGTGAGGCTGGTGCCATGGCTAGCCCTGCGAACTCGCAGGTGCAGGGCGATGCTTGTTGCAGCTGTCTTGGAACTCCATTAGTCACTAATGATGAGGGCGATTTTACCATTTGGAACTTGGATTCTCTCCAAGAACCATTCAGCTTAAACTCACTAATTACATTTAAAATTAAACGACCCCCAGCTCTGTTTGGGATTGGCCTTGCCCGTTTTTGTCGAACCTGTGCCCTCCAAATCTATTTCTGGAACACAATTTAGATCCAAGATTTCAAAATCCATGTTACCTCATCCCACCCGCAATTGAGTAATCCGAAAGGCAGACTTTACATTGCCGAACAGAGATCAAATCACATATTTCCCTATGGCGTGTCAATCTCACCAAGTACTGGACAATGACCACTTTTACATGACGTGTCTCCAAAACGTACCAACGAACAAGCATTCACAGTTGTAAGTGTACAAGTGGATTTACAACGATATTTAACATAGCCATGGAAAATGGTCCATTTATAGATGGTTTACCTATTCAAAATGGTAATTTTACATGGCTATGTCAGTTTACCAGAGGGTAGTGTAAAATAATTCAATGTTGGAAACCCTGGCCTACCAAGTGGATTTACAACAAAAAATACCTAAGATTTATAGCAAGTTCTATTGGGCCATTACCCCAACATCCCACGCAGGGGGCCCCTGTCATGTGGCACTCGCTACAGGACAAGCCCACCCTGGGAGAGGTGATTGACATGATCGGGATGGGCCCTGCGCAGACGCTAGGGCAGCGGTCAGCGGTCATGCTTTGGAGCGACTTATTTGTGGGAAAATTAAAGTGACTTCACTGTGATCTCACTGGAATCATGGTTAGTAAGTCTTGGAAATGAACCCAACTGGTTGGTGGTTTGGAACATGTTTTATTATCCAATTTTTCCATACATTGGGAATAATAGTCGCCAACTGACTTTCATATTTTTCAAAGGGGTTGAAACCACCAACCAGCCAAGAAAGCATATTGAAGTTGATGGTTAAGTTATCACGGTTTGAGGAGCATGCCACTAAGTTCCACTGATGAACTGCGTTGGAAGTTGATGGCTGTCATCTGCCATGACCTGTTGGAGGAAAGGAGCGGCCGGTACAGTAGTCAGTTTATTACAGCACAACTAATCCCTGCGTTGAGTACCATTAGCTGAATAACAAATTCGGCAAGGTGTTTGTATCCGCGCACAAATCCCTACAGTTACTGCAGCCCTAACTTGGTAGATTTGGACAGCAAGACAACAGCTAATGCAAAGTTAGCAGCAAGAAATATTGTCCTAGCTCAAGCTTGCACCAAACTCCAAAGTCATCATCCCAACCACCCGGCAACACAAAGATTACAGACAGTTATACACCACCACTATTCGGTCACAAGGTGGGGAGCCCGTGCAAGTTGAAGCTAGCTATCTAGATGGCCTCACCTTGCGTTGCTACTCTCACCAGATTGATCATGAAACATCACCATATTCAATTCCATTCTAATGTAATAATTGGTAAAGATCATCATATGCTGGTTGGTGGTTTGGAACATGAATTTTATGACTTTCCATATGTTGGGAATAATAGTCGCCAACTGACGAGCATATTTTTCAGAGGGGTGGCTCAACCACCAACCAGTATGTTATGTTAATCCGATCTTGATTTCCATAGTTCTGTCCATCAGTTAATCAGTTGACCAGCATGTTTTCCACGTTTGAAATTCATGATGGATAGAAACTATGGAAACTAAAAGTGGTGAAATTCATGATGGATAGAAATTCAATTCCATTGATTAATCCTGTTGTTTTCCATAACTTCCAAAAACTTCTGCTACTTTCAATGCTTTTCTTAGGGAACAATTACTGGTTTAAGCCCTTTTTTTTCCATTAAAATATCGCTGGTTTCCGGTTGATTTTTGTTCCACTTCCGCCCAGGATCCGTGCCGGTCTACTGGGCGGCGGCGTTTGGATGGCCGATGGCGCCGAGCTGTTGCTGATTGGCAGTGCTGCCTGGCGGCGTCTGAAAGGTCAGCAGGTGATTAATAAAAATGATGGGTTCCAAGTCTAACTTGATTGATCTATATAGATCCCTATTCCACAATTTGATTTTCCGGTTCTAACTTCATTAATCGTTTTTTTCCACTAGTAATTCGATTTGGAACTGATATAACTGGTTCTCTACATATGTAAATCAGCTGTCAAAACTATCAAGTGCACCATCGGATCCATGAGGTGATCATCATGGAAAACCGTCACGGAGCATTTCAGAAGTTCATTGCCTCACGATTCATCAACTAATGGGTTGATGTTGATGATACACATTTGGGACGAAATCCATCGGGACTACGCCACTACAAATTCATCAATCATTGTTGGCAGTTGGCTGGTTGACGTTACCAAGGTGGTTTGCATCCACAAGGGGCATGTCAGTTTGTGTAGTATTTGACATTATTTGACCATATAATATATATTTAACTTCCTATTTGACCATATTTGACTAATTCGGTTTCTCAACTAATTTAAAAAACTATTTGGCCATATTTGACCATATTTGACCATGTATTTGACCATTAAAAAATATGGTTTCTCAACGAATTCGGTGACAAGTCAGCTCTTGTTTTCCTGTGAATCCGCTGAGGTGGCCGATACTTTGTCGCGTGAATGGGAGCTGTCACGATTCCTCAAGGGTTTCGTGGTGCCTGGGACGTGAGGGGCTAAAACAAGTGGGTCTATGATAACTAAGCCATTGAACTACAGTAAACACCATAAATTCATATAAACTCCAGTTCAACTTGTGTCAAAGTAGTACTTGTAAACTTATGAAAAACAACAGATGATTTTATATCATTAGATGTTTTTGCACCTAATTTGACCCACTATCCCACATCCATTGCCTGAACATGAAGATTGCATTGTTTTCGCCAGTTGACGCTCTGTTGGACAGTCCAAGAAATGACCTCCAACTTAAATCATCGTGACCAATTGTCATGTAGATGTGTCATGAAACCTCACTCGCTCCCCTTGCTGGTTGACTTCCTGTGTTTGTTGCTGCTATCGTCTCATTGCCGTGAGAAAGAAAAAAAACTCAAACACCTGAGATAGCAAATCAACATATGTACCACCTCCCAAAACCACCTTAAAAATCAAGTCCCCCATTGAAATCATGGCTTTACAATGCCTTACACACCATTTTCAACCCCAAAATCACCATCCCACCCTGCCACAGCATCCTCAGGTGACCATCGTCTACACGGGTCTCATGGTGGGAAACATCGCCAGCGGCCCCGTGGGCGTGCGCTTCGGTCGCCGGGAGGCGGTGCTCACCTCCTATTTCTGCACCTTGGTCATGGGGGATGGGTCAAGTTACCTATGAAATTCCCATACTTGGTGGCTCATCCCACGGCTCGTAAGTGGCTTATAACCCCAGTTTATAAGTGGATTAACCCTACTTATCCCATTTATAACTGGGGTTATTTTCCTAACTTACTAAGTGGGATGAGCCACCAAGTATTTGGGAGGATGCATATCCAGCTATAGCAGCTATGACTTGGGGATGCCCAGATATTCTCATATTTGGGAGGACATCCAGCGATAGCAGCTCATTTTAGGGTTGGGTGCCAGGGTTTTGACCCATGACCAGATAGTGAAACCATCAGTTGAAATAGTTGAATGTGGGGCTTCACCATCAATGCGGGGATTGGCTGGGAAAATCATCGAAGGATGGAATGATGGGATGTGATGGGATGTATCTGGGTAAATTGTCGTGACCTCACTTTGACTGGAATCATGGTGAATGTATCGGGGAATCATCCCCATTGTGGGGCTGCAAGTTTCCGCTCTTTCATTTTTCCAGATATTTGGTTTGCCACATTGCTGGGGATACAGCTGGAAATTCATAATGGTATACATAGCAAGGATGTAATGGGATATAGCTCTCACCAACAAGATGGCTGCGTCTGAAAAATGGCGTATATCGTGTATCCCAATTCCGGTAGATTATTGTCATTGTTCCTATTATCACCAGTGAAATGGAAATGTGGAGGATACACTCTATGTTTCAGAGAAACCCAGTGTGAAGCGTAAGGATGCTCTTCAAAATTGTTGTCTTAATAGGTAACATGCAAAAATTAAAAACAACGACAACAACACACTTTTTTTTTGGTGCCAGATTTTCGGACAAACCCATTTGTGTAAAGTGTAAGGGTTGTAAGGGGCATATTTTCGTTGCATGATTTTAACAGAACTGTTTAAGTCATAACTTTGGGCACAGAAGTGGGAGATTTATATTGTATATTTATATATATATAAAAAAGTTGGAAACGTAGAGACGCAGAGAAATTCATCCAACTAAAATTGAGAAAGTGTTCATTGGCCAGGTTTGATTTGACAAACAAATGGTGGCCGTCGATCGGGCGGTCACCAAGCGCCATGACAAAACTATACAAAACTTACGTAGAGTCATTATCCTAAGTGTCAACCGTTCAGGAATAATGTAGTGCAATCGTGTTCAATCATGTGCCATTTGCTTATTTAACATAGCCATGGAAAATCCATTATAAATTGGATGTTTTAATGGGAAAATCATCTATAAATGGGCCATTTTCCATGGCTATGTTAAATAACCTGAGGGCAATAGATGTTATTATCTATAAGTATTAGATATGGTTTACCACAAGTGTCACCAATAGAATCCACTACTTATTTCCAAGCATAGCTATAGGACGGTTCATGTCATGTTTGGGATTGCTGAGGACATCTCCTGACCTAAAAATCCAGGTACATCCAGATGATTCCAGGTGGCATGTTGGTCTTCCCGTCATTTTCAGCATGAACTGAGGCATTTTTTGTTTCAGCATCTTATCCTCTACGGCCAGCTGCATTGGGGCCCCTTGGACTTGTTTTTGGTCTGGGCGCTGGAGATTTGAAGGGTCCCAGACGGCTTTAAGAAGAGATGGGGTTTATATGTCACCTCGATATGGTACAAACCATTGGACCGTGCCCTGCAAAAGCTGGAAGGTCAGCGTTTGCTTTGTGGAGGGTTCGGCCCCTAAGCTAGGAGAGATCATTCAAATCTGGAAGGTCACTTGGATTCACTTGGATCAAGCATGTTGATGGAAATCTAACAGATCCCAATTCCAACAGATCCAACAGCCAGCCATGCTGGATGTCCAGGGATGTTGCCCTGAGGAATTTTGCAGCAGTGCCATTGTCAAATGTATGGAGTTTCCATACCTTGTTTAGCCACGAGGATGGCCATATAGTTTAACATGAGTTCAACATTCTATCAACATGCTGAACAACATACTCCATATCTATACAAGTTATATAAGTATATTAGACCCTACCAAATCCTTTAAAAGACACCATGCTATAAAAGTAAACACATGAAAACACAACACGTACCAAGCCAATCCATGCCATCTTGTAGCACCCACCCACACATAACATCTATCTATTTATCTATCTATCTGTCTATCTATCTATCTATCTGTCTATCTATATCTTTATATACATATGCACATAAATATTATAAATAGTTATAGTTATATATATATATATGTGATGATTATATAGATTGAACACACACATACATACATACATACATAGATAGATAGATACATACATACATACATACATACATACATACACACATACACACATACACACATACATATACACATACATACACACACATACATACATACATACATACATAGATACATACATACATACATAGATAGATACATACATACATACATACATAGATAGATACATACATACATACACACACACATACATACATACATACATACATAGATAGATACATACATACATACATACATAGATAGATAGATAGATACATACATACATACATAGATAGATACATACATACATACATACATAGATAGATACATACATACATACATACAGATACAGCTAATATCCAACAACCATATGTTTTTCATGTTTTTTTCCCATCTCAACCCCCATCTGCCCATACGTCCCATACGTCAACGCCTCAGTTCCTGTTGGCCTGGCGTTTCGTGGTGGGGTTCGGCATCGGCGTGGGACAACCTGCCTGGATGGCCATTGCCTCCGAGATCACGCCCTCGCAACGCGGCAGGTAAGATATCCCCGATTTTTTTTGGGAAGAAACCTGCATTTATAGTTTTTTTTTAAGAAAAATCTTCAAGAATTAGGGATGAATCCTATTTTTCTCAATCTTGAAGTAGGAATTTTCGGATTGAAGTGGGGGTGCCAGGAAAAGTGGGAGTGAATGAGAGTAAAAAAACAGACATATACAGACAGAAGTGGAAATGAAGTCCCCTATTGAAAGTCGATGTTTTTCTAATCTGATAGTTTCCGCGAATATAATGTGGCCAGTAGGAACGGGTTTCCGAGAATGGGTTTCAGATTTGGCATGAGTGCGGATATGCCGTCCGACAATTTCCTCACACATACCATTCATACAGGGTCCTTACCGTCCTTCCTTTCCAGTTTTGTACACGGACAATTTGGGATTAGTTGCAACCAGGTGAAAGGCTGCATCACAAGGGTCTGAAGTGACTCCCAGTTGTGCTACATGGTCCCTTTGGAGCATGCCCCAACTTCCTGCGTCACATAGGAAATCCGTCCAAAAGCCATCTTGAAATTTAATGGGGCACTACCTTTGAACATATTGGAAGCAAAACCTCTCGCTTACATAATTCACAGACGTTTGCCCTTTAACCCCCTTTCATTCCTCCAGTATGGTTAGACAATTAGACTAATTAGACATATGATTGTTTATTACTATTATTATTATTATTAAAGGGAGGGAGGCATCCCTAAACTGGCTGTTTCAAAATTGGAGAGAGAGCGAGAGAGAGAAACTTTTCACCCATTGAGCCTCTGCACATAGCCACCCCCCTGCTCCAACATTCCTCCAGCGGCCAAGGAGATGTCGAATTCTGACGGCGGCCATCACGCAAGAGCCTGGGCTGATGATCCTTCTGGGAGGAAGGATGGATGTGTTCAATATAAGTCAGGTGCTACCCCATGTGCATCCTCATGATGGGCTCTTCCTCATTTGGCTAATGGTAGGCGTTGGGTTCAGGCCTTCAAAACTCTTCTCATGCTGGTTAGTGGTTTGGAACATTTTTTATTTTCCATATTAATTGGGAATAATCATCCCAACTGACTTTCATATTTTTCGGAGGGGTTGAAACCACCAACCAGTTGAACATCGAACTTTCAGACTCTGACTTAGTGAATATATGGGAAAATGAACTAGAGAACCTGGGGATATAATGGAACAAGTAAAGTATATATCCAACAATTTGCTGTATGTATTTGAAAATGGGCTCGGTATACCATCAAAATGGCCACATAAACCGATAGGCCATCAAATTTAAAGGTGGCCTATTCTCGGACTCCACACACACACAGATACTGCATCTGGAATAAGTAGTTTCTCCACTTTTAGATGGGCGGATATGGGCGGGTTTCTGATGGAACATCAGAGCGACCTCTCCACATGCACTGGGTCAACAAAACATTCAAAACATGAACTTGTTGTCTTGCCGGTTGTGGCTGGACCGTAGCGTGCATGTCAAATTCGAATATGAAGGCTTGCATGTGTTGAACCCATCTTTCCCACATGAGTTGATGATTTCCTTTTGACTGCTCTTTTCAAGTGCAGAAAAGCCAGGTAGAACAGAGTTGTTCCAACCCTACTCTTCGGTAAAAATCGGTCAATGATAGCCACCACGGGCGGAAAGTTGGTGATTCGACCTTTGTCTTTACCCAATTTGCCACCACCTGGGCTGTTGGGCGCACCGATCTGGACTGAGTCCCTGTTCTCCGTGGGAGCCGCTTGGATATAGATGGGACTTGGCAGCTCGAGCCTACAAACCTCCCGGGGGTTTGATCCATACGGTAACGACATTTAAATATGTGGGCGGGCCAGACCGCGAGGCCTCGGAGGTAGTCCACAATACCTGTTCGTACATTTAAAAGTCCGTATATTTATATAAATGATTTTAAATGTAGTTGCCGTAGTTTCCCAGTAAAAACTGACATGGAACTAGCGAATGGTTGGTCAAGTTGTGAGGCCACTGCAGAAGTCAGTTTGGCTCTAGTTAGCTGCTAGTTTTGAGGGATATTGGGTACTGAGATGGGTTATGGAGTTTGTGAACTGGTCAATCCCCCGATATATAGCTGGGTGCATTCCATGAGTTGCGATCACCAGCCAATGTAAGTAAGACACGGGGAGACAGCCGCGGAGACCGGGAAAGAGAAAGAGAGAGGGGACATATTTGGCTTGAAAATGATACATGGGAAGAATGTCCAAAGAGGTTTCCAGTTGGATTATGGCCAGATGATGCCAGATGCACATCGCACCTTGGTAGGAAATCTATGCTGCATTTCTTCTTCAGATCGATGACCCCAGCTTGATCCTTGGCATCAAGCTGCCTGCCGATGCCATGATGGCACTGACCTTACTGAGTCGGATTCATTGGCCAGGAGTGATCATATATTAACTCTATAGATACTTACAATCATGATAATAATGATAGCTGTATACATATTATGTATATACTGTATATATATATATATGATATATGTATATGTATGTATATATATATGTGTGTGTGTATATGTATGTATATATATCTAACAGATAGCAGTAAGGATAACAGTAACAACAATGATAAATATGTACTGCAACCGTTTTAACCATAACAACAAAAGACAGCACTCATGACAATAAAGATGACATGTTTGTGTGTAATTGTTTTGGTATTTAGGAATGAACATGGACGAACACCCATGTGCCAGCCTCCATGGAAACTGCCCGGCGATTGGCGACAAGTGTTCGTTTGGCGACATGGCAGGTGTTCTCTTCATCATTCTTGGAGCAAATCTGATAATATCATGAATATATGAATGAAATATGAATGAACATAACACATAACTCTAGTTCATATCACATTACATATTTGATTCATGATAATTCATACCGATATTAGATCATGATCCGTGGTATAATCGTATTAGAATTCTTTAGCCATCCAGCCATCATCGTCAGACTTCTCAATGGATTGGTTTAAGGGAAAATCGAACCAGGAAACCATGGATTTTCCAATTAAATATGGGGTTTAAACCAGTAAATTTTCCCTTAAACCAATCCATTGAACTTCTGGTCAACGCTTACAGGAAGCACTTGGACTGGCGGCGAATTATTCAGATGGGCGCCGTTCCACCACTGCTCCTGCTATGTCTAAGCACCTCGGCGCTGCTGCCGTTTTCTCAGGGAAAAATATGGGGATCCACCAGTGAAGCTCCAACTATAACAGGAATATCAAGTGGATAGTTGGGATAACATGGGAATATGATGGGAATATGATGGGAATATTTTATGGGAATCATGGTGTTGAGTGGGAGTAATGATGATTTACCAAGAAGATTTGGTAGTCAATCAAAGTAGAATGCGGGAATATCATGGAAATCATGTGGAACATCTTGGGATATGACGTTTGGTAATTCAACCTAGCCATGGAAACCATTTTCAGGAACATCCAACTTAATGGTCATATTTGATCGGCAAACCATGACAAACCCAATGGTGGCAGGGTGTATCCGCCGAGACTTGTTGGGCTTCTGAGGGCTTAGATGGGCTCACTGGTTTGCCCAAACTGGGGCAATGAGTTTTGTTCTTGCCGTATCTTGCCGTCCGCTTTTATTTGCAGAAAATTGGAGTAGGTTGCATCCAACCAAAGACCGGCTTTCTTGGAGTACGTAAAAGGTTAGCCATTTGTGCACCTCGAGATTGTCCAATCATATGTAGCGTTCCCTTAAACAAGAAAACAAATCAATATTCAAAATTGAAAGTAATCCCATAATTCCAACATATTCCAACATTCCGTACCTTTGGAAGCAGACATGAAAAATCTGGACGTGCATGAATTGTAAAAATTGTTCACAGCCCAATCCATGGGGCGCAGCATCTCAGGTGCTCCGTTTCTGCATCAATCACCCAGCTACCTGCAGTTGAAAGGACGTCATTTGGCAGAGAATTGTCCGTAGCAATGGAAGCCATGGCCCATGAACGTCGATGATTTGCCTATTAAAAAAAGGGCATGTTCCATAGCTATGTTAGTTGGCTGGAACAAGGGATGCAACAAGCTGCAAGTAGGGTACATTGACTGCACTGGATAGTGGTTGGAAGAGAGCGGTTCGGAAGTCGGGGTATCCGTATTCCTGAAGCTGACTGGGATCAATTTGGGCAGATGCTCGGCAAGTTGGCGAGTGGGCATTTCTTCCAGTAGAAACTTCCTGTTTGAAATTTGAGTCTTGAGGGAGCCGTTAAAAAATGAGGTTAATTGCTATATATATATATTGCAACATATGGCAACCCTACCAGTTTCTCCTATAGTCTTATCAGAACTATGTCGGGTGGGAAGCCGTTTTAGCCACTTTTCGGCCTGCGGCCTGGCGTTCTCATGACAGAGACATATTTTCAACAATTCCTCGGTGTTCAATTTCCTATCTTAGGCTTGAACTCAAAATTTAGAGCCGGTTTCGCTGGAAACAACTATGTTCTACCACACTACCCTTGCGTAATGTAACACAGCTATTGAAAATGTTCCACTTAGTTTTGCTGTCAAACATGTTGATGTTCCATAACTATCATGGATACCCTTTTTCTTTGGTTTGAAAACACATGATCTCGAATAATTATAACTAAACAAAAATAAATTCTACCACCATTCATATACTGGTTGGTGGATTGGAAGGTGGCTTTTATTTTCCCCAATAGTTGGGATGATGATCCAATCTGACTTTCATATTTTTCAGGGGCCACCCACCAGTATAACTATATAGTGAAATCCCATGCCCTACCTACGGTATCACATTTCCCACCGGCGTGACTGCCGCGCGAGGTCACGCCGAGGCCATGTTGGTCTTGGACAGCATGCGCCGGGACAATGGCGCAGAGGTCTCGGTGGATTTCAGGTGGGACGGTGGGAGGGAGCGGGTTGGACCAGCGCCACGGGGGAGGCATCGTGAAAACAGTGGGGGTCATGGAGATTTAGATGGGGACTTTATGGAGATTTATGGAGATCAGGCCCTAAGGGGACCAACCGCCAGGTTGCCTCCCCAGCCCTCCCCTGCGGCTTCTGAGAACTTCCTGGGCGTGCTGCAACGGCAGGGCCAGGTGAGGGAGCTGCCCAAGAGCCTGGAAAATTGGGTTGAGATACCCAGATAAGCCCAGATACACACCATAGTAAGGGGGTTCAGCAGCAAAAAAACGACACACAATTAGGAGTTTACCATCGAAAAATGAGAGTTATACAATCAACAAGAAATAAGATTTGATTTAACCATTCAACGATAGGATTTAGCCAGCTAGAAATCAGATTCAACCAGCAACAAATAGAATGAAACGAGAAAAAAGAAGGGAAGCCGCGATGCCACAAACCATCCCCGGTGACTATAACCCTAAAATGAGGCTAGCATTCCAGTCCTAGAGGTACAATTTGAGGATGGACGTGGATAGTACCTGGGAGAAATGTCCACGCCCATGTTCGAGGTGCCGATTGGTAAAAAAACTCCATCAAACATGGCAATGTAGAGTCCCCCACAGATGATTTGACCATTAAGACCTCCATTTATATGTATAATGGGATAATTTAAGACCATTAGTTATATTAATAGTAAATGGGGAGGGATGTATTAATCCCAGATAATTATAATTATATACATTAAGACCTCCATTCATAGTGAATTTTCCCATTGCCATGTTTAGACTTAATGGCACATTGAACCTCAGCATTCCGCGAGGTGAATCGTCGAACTAAATGGGCCATGGTTTCCATATAGCAAACTGCCACAAATTACCAGAGGGTATTCCCAGTAGATTCCCCAACTGGTAATATCCAATTATGGTTGGGTATATGATATATATGTATCTATCATTCATGTCAATAATGACAATAATGATAGTAATAATAATATCCAACCTGTTGGATAATCCAATTTATTTTCCAATGGGATTTGCAAGTACTGTGGGTTATATGTCCACAATATCAATCCCATGTTTCCCAGTTGTTGCTTTCAAAACAAGTGTTTACATGATATATTCAATAAAGTCCAGTTAAACCATATAAAATACATATACATAAATGCCATCAAACATCATTAAACATTTTTTTAAATGTTTTTTTCGGCACATTCCTAGCACTGCTGTTTTTCACTCGTTTTTCACGCAGATCATTTTGGGCAGCAAGTTGCTATTTCCCACCTTCGCCGTGGCGACACTTGGACAAACTTGGATCGTTTGAGACCTTTGTGTTGCAATCAAGTATAGACATATTATTTATATATCTCTGTGAATATGTTGATATACCCTCTGGTAAACTAGCAGTTTGCTATTGAACATGTCCATAGAAATCGTGGATTTACCCATTAAAAAAAATGGTGATTTTCCATAGTTACGTTAGTGTACCAGGTGGTATATATATATATATATTATAGACATTACCATACACATTAGCTAGCTGAACATTTTTTTTGCACGTTGTTTTCTTTGATAGTCGGTGCCATCCATGCCATGTTGTAAGTTGGTTGGTAACCCCATAAAACTACAGAGAAAGCTAGTTATAAACCAACTTGGCTATTAAAAAAATGCACATCAAACATATTAATTAAATCAACATTACTGAATACGTATTTGGTGGAATCATGGATTTGCTTGTTGGAACCATTGTTTTGGTTGTTAACACCACCTTTTTTGAGGGGCGCTTTGCTTTATCATCTTTATCGGGAGGTTCTTCTGGATAGTATACATGCAAGTGAAATGCCATGTCACTCTGTTTGAACCCCCATTGATGGGCCCTTGGCTGTGTCCTAAGGTTCTCTTGCTTCATCACCAATTTGTCCTACTTTGGCTCCCTCTATGCCTTCCCGCAAGTCCTGTCCGACTTGGTCGACAAGTGGCTGGGACACAAATCCTCGCCATTTCTATTGAATATCAGGTGAAAGGAGGGTGCTGTTGCTATGGGGATCTATTTTCGATATATCAAATGGGGAGCCAAGGAGCTACGAAGAGTTTCCCAACTACATAATTATGGTGAAAAAAATGTGAAAAAGAAGTCTTTGCTTCTCAAATCCAATTAATTTCAGTCAAATCACTGCCAGCTACTGTCAGATGTATTGCTCAAATCATTGATTTCTTGTAAGTTGCGATCCCCAAAAAGATAGAGTTCATTGAAATCTTACTCAAAATGGATTTGTAAATTCAGCCATTTCTACATTTTGCCTGGGTAGAATCGCAAGAATGCAAAATCGCGAAACCCATGATGAACATCCAAACTTGATGGGCCAAATCCTTAAAGCTGAAACCGCGAAAGCGCCCAGGGGTGCAGCCAAACAACTCTTTCTCGGCGCGCTATGGGAAATGCCGGGCATCGTTTTGGGTGCCTTGGCGCTGTGAAAATCACCCGCAGAAGATCGACCGCGGTGATTCTTTTCTGGGAGCCTCCAGTGTTTATGATTTCAAAATCAAAAAGCAAAACGATATGGAAAGCCTTAGAAATGTCATGTAGAGAGAAAGGAGCCATGGATTGTCTGAATTCCTGGAGGGTGGCATTTCAGCTTTGGGGAGCCACCTCCAAGAATGAAGGTCATGTAGCCTCAGGTGTCCTCAAACATAGCAATGGCAAACTGGGAAAACACCCTGTAAATGAAGTTGTTCATTGGAATATCATCTAGAAATTACGGTTTTAAGTGCAACATCATGAATATTTTTTGGGGGGTCGAACATCATCTAGAAATTTAGGTCTTAATTGGAAACTCATCTGAAAATGAAGGTGTTTTTTGTTGAAAATCATCAATGAAGGTTGGAATTGGAAAAGCATTTGGAAATGGTGGATGTTCCATTGCCGTGTTTGAGTAGCAGAGGGTAAACCAACCATAGACCATCTAAATTTCGACACATATGTTGTTTTTTCTGCGCTGACCAGATCGCAAGATAAATGCAAAACAATTTGGCATATGTTGACAGCGCAAGCAGATGTTACGGAGCATAGCGGGACTCATTTTGCGAGGGTATGCGAGGGTTTTTGGGTATCATTTGCCACGCTAGTGATTCCCACTTCGACCAGAATTTCCAGAATCTAATCAGTGACCACGGACCAACATACCCATTTCCTATGCAAGACAGGTGTCTCCAAGATCAAGTAACATGTGGGTGTGTCTGAAAATAAAGTACCCCCAAATCCATTAAATTAGCATCATGTTCGCATATTTCCCTATCAAAATAGTAATTTGGGATCATTTGGGGGTAATTATACTTCATTTTCTGACCCATCTGGGTGTGTTTGAACTAGGATATCCCAACATCAATTGTCCTATTTGTCCTATTCACATGACCAGTTTTGGTCCCCCATTTTCAGAAACCATGCCGAAACCTCGCCGTTGTCGCCGTTGTCCGAAATGAATCGGGGCACTGAGGATGTTTTCTGGGTATGCTCTACCCCAGGCTCCAGAGATGGCATTAGGATGTTGGGACGGCCATATTGTATGCCCATGTCTAACATGTCTTTTCTGTGTTGGGAACACATGCTGGTGTTGGTGTTGTTGTTTGTTGTGGATTGCACCGTGTCATCCAAGTAATTCATTCCTATGGATTCCTGTAGGGTGGAACTTGTGTGACAGACAGCCCAGTGAATATGCGAGTCTGGTATTAGCAGTGGTATTCAGTTTTAGGGAGGAGGGATCCTGCTGTTCCGGAACAAACAAACCCATGGGTGAAATTATCATTTCAATTGTTTGAGATGTATTTGGAATGATGCTGATACCTGGCCATTGCTTGCCAGACTCTTGTTGGACTCACCAGAAACAATGTGACAACGTGTGTCCTTCCTGAAGCTATTTCCATTTCCTAAATATATAGATATCGTTCACTTGGATTTCCCTGGGGTCCCTGCGGGAAAGAAACGATGTATACAATTGCCAGGTCCATAATTGATATAATTGGGAAACTCATAGATCTGTAGATATCTGTAGAGAATACTTACCATCTGGTTATCTAACAGTTCGCCATGGAAAATCCACCCATTTTTAAGAACGGTAAACCATCTATTTCTATGGGCCATGGCTTCCATGGCTATGTGAGTCATAACCAGAGGGTAAAACCATTGGAATCCATTAGATGTTCTCCCCGGATGTCCTGTCTTCAAACGCACCCAAAGAAATTGGAAAAAAAAAACGCATGCCCTTTGGTTGTTTAACATAGCGGAAAATGGCCCACCTAGAGATGATTTATATTGATTTATGATGTTTTGCCTTTCAACAAAATCTGGTTGGTGGTTTGGAACATGTGTTGTTTTTCCATATAATTGGGAATAATAATAATCCCAACTGACTCATATTTTTCAGAGGGGTTGAAACCACCAACCAAAATGGTGATTTTCCATAGCTAAGTCAAAGAACCAGAGGGTACCATGCGGTAATTTCACTTCGATCTATACCCCGGATGGCCGCTGGGGCCGCTGTGAGAAGCAGAGGGATCCAACATCACACCATAGTTACCCTTTGGTAAACTAACAAAAAGCTATTGAAAATGGCTATTTATAGTGGATTTTCCCATGAAAAATGGTGATTTTCAATAGCTATGTAACAAATTACCAGAGGGTAACCATTAATAACTGAAGTTGGTTATTTATGGTTATTTTGGATTGGCTGTTTTTGATTTCTAGATGACCTCCAGATATATAAAATGATTTCCAATGAGTTTTTCAAAAACAGACCGCCCCCCCAGATCAAAGAGTTCCCGTCACTGAGGATCACAAGTTTGAAGTTCTACCTGACCATGTTGGCTACCGTCCTGCTGTTGCCTGGTGATCACCATCAATGGTGGATCAACGATGAGAAATTACTGTAAGGGTTGCCATCAAAGTTTATGGCCCTTTAATGGAGTGCAACATATTTCAACGTGGTTCAATATATGTTTGAGCGTGCTTTAAAGCATTCGAAATGTGGATGCATGTGCAGCTTTTATGGATCATTACCGCGCCGATATTACAAAATGACATATCCATACATATCCCAAATATTATCACCAGAATCATGAACCCCCGATGAACAGATCCAATACTAGGGATTCCTGGGGCGTATTTGATATTGGCAGAGGGATTTGAAAAGTCCTGTTTGGTACCCGGCTGAGGTTTAATCCGTGTCAAACAATTATTCCAGATGAGTCATGTCGAGTCCATATTGTTTCGACCATGTTTTTGCATTGATTCATGGACATAGGCTTGACATAGACTATTTCCTAGTTTGCTTCAAGTTTTTCAATATTCCCAAGTTTAAGCCCAAATAAAATCCGCAGCAATGTGGTAAGCCCAATAATTAATAAATCTACCATTTGATGTTTATACAATCCATTTATGATTTTGGGGATGTGTTTGGTATTGGGTGTGCCACGTTAGAACATGTTAGAACCACAGCTCCGTGGTTTTCAGACGTCAGGCTCTTCATCGTCGGTGGTAACAATCGCGACAGACACTGGGCCCCTTTGGATGCGCAAAGTGTGGTTTGAGGTTTTTACAACGGCTTGAATGGGTTTAACGCAGCCAAGTTACAGAAAAGATCATGGTCAATTAGACATGGCTTGGCTCAGCTGAAATCGTAAAAACTGCTACTGTTGAGGATGTTGCAGGCCGTAACGTACCTGCTTTTCATGAAGAAAAACTAGGGAATCGCCGCTTGCCCAACAAAAACTCCCGCAAATTGTCAGTTGCCCACAGTAGCCCCATATTTTGATATATTTTTGGCATATCTATTGGGAGTATCCTATAAAACCATATTAAATCATATGAACTCCATAGGATTCCATAGGGTTTTCACCGTCCCCTGGCCCGAGAACACGATGCAAGGCCTTCGATGTGTGCCTCTTTACGGGGTACTATGGTGTGAAGATGGCGGCCCAGCTGGGCTTTGTCCTGGTATACCAGGCCGGAGGGGGGTGTGGGGCCTGGTAGGTGGGGATATCCCGGTGATGTATGTATGTATGTATATATATATATAGAGATAGAGATAGATAGATAGATAGATAGACAGACAGATAGATAGATAGACAGATAGATAGGTAGATACAGTTGACATGGAAAATGGTCCATTTACAGATGATTTCCTATCTATCTGTCTACCTACTGTCGAGCCCCCAAATAACTTAACAAAAACGGTAAAAGTACCAAAATACACTAAATTATGGGGTAACACACCATTTCCCATAATGTATACAAACAGAGGGTCTAGATAGATCAACAGATACGACAAGATTCGATAAGATTAAAACATTCCAAACGGGCTTAGACATCTATACCTAGATCCTCCGTTTGTTCCCATATGGTTTGTGTTTTAGCACATAGTCTTTTTGTGTTTTTTGGCCGTTGAGGTGTTTGGGCAGGTCTAGGTAGAAAGATAGATATCTAGACAGTTGAAATGGACCGATAGATAGGATATTCCCCAACTAATATATATCCATATGTATGTAAACGATCGAAACAATAACAGTATATACAAGATACATGTATATATATGCATATGTCTTCGCTTACCCATGTACATATATCTACATATACACATATTTTGAAATGTTGTACCCTCTGGTAAACGTTTACACAACTATAGAAAATCACCATGTTTCAAATTGCCATGTTCAATAGCTTTTTGTTAGTTTACCAGAGGGTATATCCATGACATGGCACCCTTCGAATCACAGGTGGCCAATGAGATCTACCCCGCGGAAGCCCGGACCTTGGGCTGCGGCGTGTGCCTGGCTGGGGGCCGACTGGCGGCCATGCTGGGGCCCTTGTTCTTCGAGGGGCAACTGGGACCAGAGCTGGGGGATCTATGGATTTTTGGGACATCTGTGGTATATAAAACAAATCTATTGGTACATCATGTATCATATCAATAGATAACCATCATATCAATACATCATACTAGATTAATATATAACCATCATAATTAACAATATTATAGAATGGATATGTCTGTAGTAAGGACTACGGTAAAAACTGTGATAGTAACTATGGATATAGCTTCGGTGTAGCCTAACCTCTGTAACAGTCGGAAAATGGATTTTCTATGAAAACCTCTTCAAAAGGAGCACAAGGAATTTCGTGCATTTTTCGATTTTTTTTCGTGCAAAAATCGTGCTCTAAATCGTGCTGTTTTGGTGCTCCCCTCCGTGCAAAAATCGTGCTCTAAATCGTGCTGTTTTGGTGCTCCCCTCCGTGCAAAAATCGTGCTCTAAATCGTGCTGTTTTGGTGCTCCCCTCCGTGCAAAAATCGTGCTCTAGATCGTGCTCTTTGGTGCTCCCCTCCGTGCAAAAATCGTGCTCTAGTTTGTGAAAGCTGTTACAGACAATGGGCCAGACACAAGATATAGCTATGGTAATAACTATGATCAATGGATGTTAAATTATGTGATTACATCTGTGCTATATAAACAAATCTATCGGTACATAATGTACATGACTAGATTAATCCAACCATGGTTATATAAACATATCAATATGATACAATGGATATAAATATGGTAAGGTGAGTGAATTATTCTTATTTACCCAGAACTATGGGGTTCATGGGTTATGATAATAACTACGGTAATAACTTTGGTAGTTCACTACTATAATTGCTATAATTTTGGTAATTCACTACTTTCATAGATAATATAACTGTGGTTATAAGTTAAAACCTCCAGAAATTGGGATATATACTGCAAGCCCCACAACTATGATTATACATACATATATACATATATAGATAGATAGATAGGTTTAAACACTCAAAACCACTTCTTCGTGGAATATTTAAATGATGCACCTCTCCCCAAAGTGAACGGAGGGTACGGTGAAGGGAGCTCTGATGGTCTATTTTCCCAATAATAGGGAGCCAGCTGGAGCTACTAATCGAGTTTCCTAAACACATAATAGTGGAATTCATAGGTGAAGATTACATACTTGGTGGAAAATATGGAAACACATCACCGCCAACAATGATTGAACATCTGGATATATACATTCGAAATGGTAGAGGGTAGCTAACTGTTGATACGGATACACTGATATATTGTAATTTTGGTGATTCAACCAGAAAACCTGATGGAAACCTGAGATTTACAATGGTCAACCACCAATGTATCCTCTCGTAGTTCAACATAGCTATGGAATCACTAACAGTTAAGGCAAAGCTATAGGGATATTGACAATTATTGGGGATATTAATGGGGATGTTGACCCCGAACAACGAACCTTGAACGTCCCTTTGTTTTGGGGGTTTGCATTTGGTGATGAAGAGACTATACTTGATTTCTGCCTATGTTGAAAAACACACATATTATATGAGTTTTTTTATAAATATATAGGTATATATAGGTTAGTTTATAACAAACTAGGCTGGCCTTTTTCAGGGTTGGGCTTGGGGATGTTAATGCGAACATGCGCTAACCGCCGAGGTAGGGGGTTCTAGATGTAGCCATAAATGCTGATCTAACATGTAGTAATGTCACGTTTGTTTGGGTTGGGAAGTTGGGGGTGGAAGATGTGGTTGATTTCTGGTGGTGAATCATGGAATGGAAAGTGGAGGCTGGTTATTGGATAGTTTGAAGCTGCATATGGAGGAGTTTTACGCCATCTAAACCATTTGATGATATGAGACACTGGCAATTTTCGTCAACCCATCATGAAGTTCGCTGGCAAATTTGATTTACCTACCACATCATCCAAGTCGACATCACCTACCAGCACTAGCCAACCAACCATCGGAACCCGAATCCATAAACCACTGATGGCAGACCAATGTACACAAGTACGTGTGTTATACGCCCAAAGCACATGCCATTTGTAATAGTTTAACAACTTTACTGTAGTGTTTATTTCATGCTTGAACTCGGGAACACTTTCTGTTTGCCATCCACGCACACATAATTATTTACATATATATATAGGGACTGCATCGGACACTATTTATATAGATGTATACCCCTATGAATTGTATTTAAATCATTTGTGACATAGGTTTTAGACCAGTGGGTGAATAAACCTGCATGAGATCCGCCAAAATATGAACTACCCTCCGGTATTGCAAGCCTCTTGCCTCGCTATGGAAAGCTTAGCGATCGAAAAATTCAGTTCCACTGATCCACCGTCCGTGGCATTTTTCTGGTCGTTGGTTTCACATGTTTGGGTCCATCGGTATCCTCCCATAATCAAACATGGCCATTGAAAATCCATCATGTATATAGCTACACTTTCCCATGAACACTTTCATTTAGTCCGCTGTTTCCCAGCCTGCCATGTTTGATTACCAGAAGGGGTCAACCCGGGCTGACTAGCAAGACTTCAACGCCTCATTGGGGTTGATAGTCAGGTTTATACAAAGAATGCAATCAATTCGATCCAAATGGTATGGTTTCTAATTACAACAGTGGGATATGAACTATAAATACGTACTATCATCAATGACCTGGTTGATCCCATTTGTTGTAGTTGGTTAGTTATAAACCATGATATCCCCAGTGCTATGCCATTATATAAATGCAGTTAGATCATTATCAAAGCCACTCTTTTTTTCTGGCTAAAGTCCATTAAACCACCGTACCAGTTTTGATGATTGAATCCCGTAAAATAACATGTTTTGATGGTTAAACCGTTAAACCCTATAAAACCACAATTTTTGATGTTTAAATCCATTTAAATCTCAAACAAGAACCACGTCACTACACCTCAGGATTACTGCCCTCACGGGCACTTGGTTAGCCTTCTTTTTGACCATGGCTGCAGGGGCTGTTCCTTGGCAAAGGGTACCTGATGATCCAACTCCGTCTCCCATTTTTGCCACTCATGTTTTGCCAATTGGTCCCTCTTTTTCCTTGTTATACCAAAGTCTGTCCTTGTTAAAACAACAGGTTTTTCTGCTTAAGAACCTTTTCCTTCGGAAACCTCCCATTGCAAAAAGCTCTGGGATACCTAATCCCATGATTTTTACAGTGGTTCCCATGATTATTTTACCTAATCCCAGAAAATCTGTTTTTCCACTAGCTCCGGGACCCGGGAGGTTCTGAATCTATGGATCAGCGACCTCATTCCAGAGACGGCACATTTGATCTTGGACGAGGAACCGGCCAAAGAGAGCTGAGTCTCGGTGACTGCGATGTCATGCGATGTCCGTTTGAAAAGGAAAATGAGAAGATTGGAGGTCAGGAGACTTGGGACACTGATTGGATAGTTCTGGATAGTTTTTTATTGAACGGTTGATTAATGTAATTAGATATTAGTTGGTTAGTGAGGGTTTCATGGTGGTGATGGGGGTCATCAGCCCATGGTGCAAGACTCAAGACTTCTAAATACGGAAAACCAACTGGATCCGTCGCTCGGGAAAGTTGAGCCACAGCAGTACCACTGCGTTTGCCGCTGAATGTGTGGCTCAAAGCAACCCAAAGAAACTCTAGGATTCTTTCGTTTAAAAGATAAAGAACCCCGGGAGAAATTCCGGGAAACCGTTCCTACCAGCATGGTAGGCATGACTTGTCGCTTCCGCACATGCTGCACCTTTGCTTGGCTGTGGCTAGCGCGATGCAGCACTGAGCTGCCATTGGAAGACGATTGCCAAGAGGATTGTGGGCTAAACGCCCTGCAGATGAAAGCAACTAAGGACTCGGTTTTTCCTGAGGAAACCGGCGTGATGGATACAAGGTTAACTAGGGTCTATAGGGGAATATTTATATAGAGCTATGGGACCATCAGTCAATAAGTCAGCAAACATAACGCAAGGTCTTCCCCCGAATTTGATTCACCCCTGGGGCTGTTGATCATTTGGGGGGGTACCATAGTAGCAGGTGACATAGTAGTAGGGAATTCCCCTAGTTAACCAACCAGCGTCTATTAGTCTTCTAATCCCGGCATTACTTCATTTCAGTTTAATTTGGTTTCATTGTTTGCTTTAAATTGGGGTCTATAGTAACCAGCCCAAATTACATTTTTCATAAAATACTGCAGTAACTATGTAGGTTATATGAGGTTTGCCATGCCAAATGTTGGACACGTTTTGAGTTTTTTTTGGAGGATCCCCGTGGATCCCCCACAGTTTTGGTCAGTTCCAAATGTTATATGGTTTGCTCTTACATATCCATATAACAAAACCATATAACATAATTTTAACTAATTTTCCGTAATATATGGATATATACTATTTGGATACCTTATATTCCCGTAATATCTTTTCACTATATAACTCTCATGATATCATTATATAGATCTTCATTCCGACCTCCCCATGATATCACCATTTGAATATCACCAGTAAAATATCTGCAGCATATTCCCATTGTAATATCTCCATTAGAATGTCTTTGATTCCATTGTTTTTGAGTGTGAAATCCATTATTATACCTTCATTAATTCCTTCATTATTTCACCCAATATAATACCAATATCATCGCCGCAATATACCAATTATAATGTTTTTGATCCATATGTGTTTTTTGCATGTGTATACCCTCTGGTAATTTAGCATGGCTTTGAAACATCGCCACTTTTAATAGGCAATCATCAATACATGGAACATTTTCCATAGCAAACTGTTAAACAACCAGAGGGTCCACCGTTGGCATCGCTCACAGGACTCGGCTCAATGGCATGGACATTGTCATGGGCCTCCGGGTGATGCCTGGTGTTACACAAAGGACGAGCGTTTGTGTCTTGAACGCCGCTGCGAATCTGGGTTTGAGTTTTTTGAGATGTTTTCGTTCTCGATTGTTTTTGATCTGGTGTTGCGTTTTGTTTTTAGTTCCGTTTTTGTTTCGATCAATGTGGTGTTAGATGGTTTTAGGATGTTTTCAAAGTATTGTTTGAATGTTTGATGGGTAGTTTGAAAATCAAACAGCATCTGAAGAGGGGTTTGAATGATGGATTTTCCGCCAAGGCAGAGTAATTCAGTTACCAGATATTTAGGGAGAGAGAGAGAGAGAGATATATATATATATGGCTCTTAACCGTTTCTCTTTTTTGGGTGTTCCATCCAAAAGGGTTTTATATATATTGATTTACTCGGCAATTTAAGTTCTGATTGATTCCATATGTTTGGGATGCGATCAGCCGCAATGAACATTCATAGATTTGGGCAGCTCAAGCAATGTCCTAATATACGGTATCCCTCAAATCCCACAGATACAGAGCCTCGCTGTCCCATTTGTTCCTGTTCAAATGGCCATGAATTTGAAGTAAAATCCGCGTTTTGAGATGAATATTAACAGTCAACACTCATATTTGACGGTCAAAACCATGGTTTCCGGTCAAAATTTTGGTTAAACATCTAAACTCTAAAACCATTCCAGCACATGAAAACACACACACACACACGCACACGCGCGTTGTTATGATTTCGTGGCTTGAAACAGAACATAACTTGGGTAGATCCCCATGTCGAGACAGATCTTAGGAATGGATTGTGGACGGGACGACTCCAGAACCTGCGTGGGAGAAATCTGAATTCCGCGGCAACTGTGTCAGAATGGGTCCGCAACAGCAATGCTTCGGCGATGTGCCTGGGAGTAGTCACCAGCACCGTTGGGTTTGTCGGAAAATTGGAGGATTTTTACTGATGTACAGATGGTCATTTTAGTTGAGAAAATGGTTGATTCACCATGATTTAATGATTGGGCGACCTTATTTTCAGACAAACCCATGTTCGAGTTGTTTTGATAGCTTAAGTGGATTTACACCGTAAATGTTTGATTTCTAGAAGTGATGGGTGAACAGCAAGAACAGTTTGTGGCCAGCCATTTTGGTGTTCTCCCTTTCCTATTAGTTCGTGGATGCTCACGCCCACTGAGTAGGGTTTTATATTGATACAAGGTGGTGCCCCACAGTGTGCGAAGTTGGTTACTAGTTTCGCTGGAGCTTATGGTGATGACAACTGGACTTAGATGCGCCATGCCCAGTTATCAGACTGGGGGCACCCTCCAGGGAACCATGAGGTCCCATCAGAAGTGGTACTCAAATAATGGGGTAAATACCAATCTTCAATGGAAATTCCAGGATCCTAAAATATAGGTACTGTACCATATTGTTGGCCATATTTTGTGGGGATATTCCCTGAAACATAGGCCTGAAAAATAGGCCTTATATATGGTAGGTACCTCCAATCAATCGGTTCCTGAAATGGCCATTGAAATCTTGATGGGTCCCTGCAGTGGTCTAGGTATGTTGAATACCCGCGCAAGCAAGGCAGTGGAACAGGCACCATGAAGTTCGCTCATCTTCCCATCCAAAGCTCCATATTTCCCACATTTTATAGTGATTTATAGTGGTTTAATGGGATTTCATGGGAGTTTATAGTGATTTAATGGGATTTTATAGTGATTTAATGGGATATTAATGGGATATACCCTCTGGTAAACTAACATAGCTATTGAACATGGCCATTTAGTTCGTTGATTTTCCCATTGAACATGGTGATTTTCTATAGCTATGTCACAAATTACCAGAGGGTATGTTCCATATTTGTCCATTATGTTCGTATATGGGGATGGGTCAATACCTATTAATACCATTTTTAGGGGGATGAACATCCATTTACCAGCTATTTTGATGTTCACCAGGGGTACAAGGTTTTGACACACTGCCATATGATTTTTCCATTAAAACCTTCGTTTCGTTTCGGAATTTGTTCAAAGGCCACGGTTGAGATGACCCAGGAATTGTCTTGCGAGACGACGCCAGGGTGCACGTGGACGGGCAACACCTTTTCAGTGACCATGGCACCAATGCCACGGAGCTAAAGATGCAGTGGTTGATTGGTCATTATATGATATTATATGTGGGTTGTACCAACTGGTTTAATTATTGATGTTTATTGGGGATGGTATGATGTGTTTCTGATGTTTTGAATGTTCAATGAAAGTCTAGTCTAATATGATGATAGCAAGTCCCAAAAAAGATAGAAATGTGAATCTTTGATTTAGGGGATATAATATACGGTTCTCTTGCTTGGGGATGCCTATATATATAAATACGGGCAAATCACCCTTAAAACAGCCATTTGATCCCTGCTGGGTATGTCACCATTTTACCGTTGTATCTTGATTTGCTGAGTTCGTGATGTTCCAACTCATTTGGAGGTTTCTTAAAATGGTGGATCCAAAAAACGATGGATGTCAATCCTAAAATGCTCTAATTTTTGGATGTTTTGGGGTACCCCAATGACTTATTGGTCACCTCCATCTCCAAAATGTTGGCAACATTTGCCATAAATCGACCATGGCTGGGGATGGGTTTTCATATGTTTATCCCATGAAATCCCAGCAAAACCGATTGGTGTCTTAAGCACCTCCCAGACCCGGTATGCCGACTATGGCGCCAATGCAACCCTTGGGGGGAAACTGTGTTGCTTGGAACGGAACCTGTGATGGGCTCGCGTGGGGCTGGGTTTTCATGACTGGTTTCAATTGGGAGGAAAGAGTTGGGAGTGCCTGGAATACGTATCTATTTGTTTGTTTGTTTGTTTGCCTATCTATCTATCTATCTACCTATCTATCTATCTATCTATCTATCTAGTCATAGGGAGAGGTATGGCTTCACATTGTGGATTTGGTGGTACCCTATTTTTAGACAAATCACTTCAGTTTGACGTGAAAAAAAGATTTGAAGATTGTTTGATGCTTGAAGTTTGAACTGTAAAACTGTATAACTGTTAGATTTGTAGATTGGATAGTCGCTTTGGATTTGAATGTTTGAAGTTTTAATCCTATACAGTAGCTTGGAGTCTGGACATGCCAGGCAAAAGTGAATTGAAACCAAGGAAAAGATGGTGTCACAATCAAAAGAAGCGTTTCCCCTCGTGTTGAACTGCTCAAATACATTTTTCTTGACCCCAAAGAAACCTCACTCATTTTTCCGGCACTGGATGGATCGTTGTTTGGACTCTGGACTCCCACATAAGAAGTTGTTGTAGTTGTAGTTGTAGTAGTAGCGGTAGTAGTAGTAGTAGTAGTAGTAGTTGTTGTTGTTGTTGTTGCTGTTGTTGTTGTTGCTGTTGATGTTGTTCTTGTTCTTGTTCTTGTTCCTGTTCCTGTTCTTGGTAGGTGTTGTTGTTTTTCTTTGGTCGGAGGGTGGGCGTTAGATCTTTGACTCAGCCCAGATTGGCACGCCCATGAACCAACCGAACTGCTTTGGATTGCCGGAATGGGCCTGCAGGGGCAACACAGGCTGCAGCTGGAACAATTACTGGATGTATTAATCCAGCAGTGCAGCCGATGGTTGGAAAGCCAAAGGGTGTCATCCAACCAGAAATGGCTTAGAGAATCATATGGTGTCTGACAACGGTGGGATCAAACACGATTCAACCCCAGTTTATGGCTTTAATAGGGAGCTATTAGGATAAACCGGCAAATTCCGCGGCACCTTTTTTTCAGACGAAACCATATGCGCAGTGCTACGGGCACATCTGGCTCTTGCAAAGTCGAGGTGTGCCACCAAAAGCTGGTAATGGCTTTGGTTCAAAAAAAAATCCGAAGCCGTTGGAAGGTGCATGGCAGTTGGTGAGCAGCAACCCAGGTGCACATCAGTATAACACGCTATGCATGAAAAACCGCTTACAAAACGGGAGGCGCTTCCAAGTATGAAGGTGGCTTGTGTGGTCAGCCCCCCGAATTCCTGGGTGGAAGGTTCCAAAGCTTTGAACATATGCAGGCAGCACCACATGACTCCGGAAAAATATAGTTTTCTGTCTATTTTACCAAAAAAAAAAGCATTCACATATCATATGCAATGACCCTTGTGGTATGTGCATGGGTATATGCATGGCTTGGAAAATTATAATTAGTTATTTGTCCACCGGTTTTGAAATCACCAGTTCCACCACAATTCGTAGTTTCCAGGTCCACCAGGTCCGCCTGTTGGGGTGTCCCTCGCAGGTGTCAACGACTGCAGTCCCAGTGGAAAGGAAAGAAGCTCTGCGGAGGGTTGGTTCGGACGCCCGGGGATGGGTAGCAGTTGAGGTGCAGTCAACATTAATGTCATGAGAAACCCCTTTGAAATCAGCTGTGGTATGTTAAGCGAGATATGCAAAATAAGCAATTACACACATATATATATATATATATATTATACATATATATATATTATGCATATACATATATATATATATATATTATTCATATATATATATATTATACATATATATATATATTTGAACGCAAATCAGAGGTCCAAATCACTCATGGGTTTAATGGTGAAATGTCCAGAGGTGCTGGGATTGAATCGTCCCAAGCATAAAGGGAGGGGCGGGCTACATCGATGGGGACAACCTATGTAGCGTTTCCTGTGTAGTCAACACTTGTCGCTATTTGTGTGATCCAAACCACTATAGTCACTATGTGTGGAACCCTTGACTTTGCTAAGGGTGCTTGATTTTAGTTATTACGAAATTCTGAGAGATCGTCTGGAACATCTAAGATGTCTTGTTTTCTGGTCAGAATTTGTAGCCCCCATGGGCCTTTTCACCCAGAATATGTCCATCAAAGCTGACGCCAAATGTTTTTGGATCTCCCGGGGATCCGATGGATTTGTTCCATTTTTTGGGGGGGTCCATGATTGGTTTTAACGAGTCAACCCCGGATGAAAAAAAGCCATGGTTTATGAAAATTAGGGGGGGTACTACTCCAATAGTCATTTCATCAAATACCTAAATGGATTTAAATGGTACCCTCCCAATTAAACAGCCCAGGGGTTCATTAATCCAGAGTTGACATTAGTTGTATTTCATATTCGGATGAATCTCCAACATTCACTAAATCCATCAAAATCCCATCATGGATTTTTCTGAAGATAGGATACCCCCAAAGTCCAATGCTTCATCATCATTGCCCCACAAGGCACCTTACGGTACCCCGAGATGTGTTGGACACGTCCTTGGTGGCTTCATTCTGATCACCAGTTTGATTGGTGAAATGATATGTTTCTACTGGTGAAACATCACTTTTGAATACTTTTGATTCGTGAAACATCGACCGGTACCGGTGAACATATCCACATCAAAGTGGCCCCCTTCTGCTCGAAGCCACATTTCTGTTGTTTGTTGCTCCGCCTACTGTTGGCCAAGGTATTACGTTGCATAGGTCTTCATCAAACCATAGTTTAACCTTTAACCCCCAACTCATATTAAACTCACTGTTTATATTGTTTCCTGTGGGTGCCTCCAGAAAGGCAAAATATCCTCACAACCATATAAAAGCACCAGGTGTCCAATGTTTCTCCCAGCTATTCAACCACAACGAAACCATAGTGTAACCATATTTCAATCCCAGTACCAATTTAACAATTTCTTCACCCTTTTCAACTTGGAAATTATAGGGGAAACAGCATTAACTAGAATCCTGGCAGCACGTATATGTGTTTGCGCATCTTTTTGGGGATATATAGAGATCCACCAACTGTGGATGGTCTTGAATTATATTTAAAGAACTGGGTAATCCCAACTACATGACCTCAAGCCACCTCTTGCTACAATCGCTAGTGATTCTTGCTACTTGTGTTTGAACCCTAGTGGATTATAAACCCTAATTTCTCCAGAGCTACTAGTTCTTATTTGGATACATAAATCTATAGAATTGTATTTTAACTATTGACCGTTGGTAGCCAGATTGATACAGATAGATATCCAGATAGATATCCAGATAGATGTCCAGATAGATATCCAGATAGATCATAGGTATGTTTCTGCAGATCTATGTTCTAATATAACTCCAGTTTGAAAGTTGTATTAAACGAATTCACCAATATCATACCTGTTTATATTTAATATTCACCATAGATCTATGAGTTGCATTAAACCCTAGTTTCTCCAGATCTATAATTAGTTACACTAACAGTCGCATGAACTACATATTCACCCACTAGTTAATTGTAAACCATGTGTTTTGTTTATAGAGCCTAGTTACATAAATTACAAACCCTAGCTATTCTTCCTAGTTACATTAACGGTAAACCTATCCCGTCCTTGCCAGAGGGTGTAAATGATTTCCCTCAGGTTATAACTCCCTAAAGCTGTTTTGACTACAAACCTATATTAAACCTGGTTGTAGCAACCACACACCTTGAAACCTCAGTTATCAACCTATATTCTTGGTCCATTAACAACAATTACTAAAATTGGTGTTGTTAATATAGTTACGGTTATTCATAGTCAATTACCATGGTAGGGGTCGTTATATTAAGCATAGATCCCTATCCTATGCAGCTAGTATAAACAGGCTTTATAAGTTATATCATATTGCCTATAAACCTTACTGATGGACAAAACTCCCGCACCAGCTGATAGGTGGTTTATTATCCCATTGGATAGGGTTTCAAATGTTTCAACCATCCCAAGTGGTGTAGGATTTCTCCGATTCTATGGGTTTCTTCCATCCACAGTATATTATCTCTTCTGGCATTAACTATAGAATTATCCCGTTCTACAAGTAACATATCACCCTCTCAACCATAGACCAGTAATAAACTGGACGTAACATTAAACCATAAGTATCCATAAGTATTATTAACTAAGCCTAGAAATAGTATTATCAGCATTAACCCATAGGGTTTCATACATTTGACCCGCTAGGTGGTTATAAATTTAACCCAATAGATGAAATCTGATATTAATCATGGAACCCGATCATTAACCACAATGTCAGGTTAGGATTATAAATCTACTGTTAGTCAACCACGGTGGGTTTACGTTTATGGGGTTACTTAAACCCAGCTAGGATTATAAATCTATTTTTTAACCCATATTCAATCAAATTAATATTGGATAATGAACCGTCTCCAACTAATGATAGATTAATGCCATAGTTGATTATAATATATTATAATCCACTATAAATATAGTTGCTGATTAACAGATGAATAGATCCATAGGATAATAATCCATTATAATATTAGTTATTATCCACTATATTAACTATTTATTTATAGTGGATTAACAGATGATTAACAGATGAATAGATCCATAGGGTTAATCATAAACTATAGCCATTCATAAACTATAGCCATTCATGAAACAGTGAATTATAGTTTATTAACCATTATCTATGGATCTATAGTTGATGAATTAATCATGGTTAATCCATAGATCCCTCCCTAAACGACGTCAGGTCACTGCCACCTGGACCTCCCTAAACGACACCGCCTCCGAGAAACACGTGGAGCGCATGGCCGAGATGGCGCGGTTGAACCCATTTTGGGATGGAAAAAGGATGGGAAAACCAGCGGATTTCAGCGGAAAAAGTGTAGAAAACTCATGGGGAAACTATGGGAAACGCATGGAAATGATTAAATGAATGGAATCTGACGTCAGATTTTATGGGAAACTGCTGGGTTCGAGAAGCAGTTTGACTACGACCCAGTGCCCAGTTCGAAGGGGATAGAGAGCTGTTTTTCACTATAAGTCGTTAGGGGTTTAGTCACTTGACTATCCGGAGGTGAAGGGGGGAGCAGTGAATGGACCTATGGCAATCTATTTTCTTTATCAAGAATGGGGAGCCAGTTGGAGCTAGGAATTGAGTTTCCGAATGGTTATTTAGCATAGCCATGGCCCATTTATAGATGGTTTACCTATTAAAAATGGTTATTTTCCATGGTGATGTTAAATAACCAGATTGTATTTTGCAGGCAGAATCTAAAGATTTCCGAAGACTAGCTCAAATTCATCTATGCTGGGTCTGGAAACATGTTAAATTATTAAACCAAACACCTGATTAAACCAATCAGGATGACGATATTAGATAACTATGCTCGCATAGGCATGGTAACAGGCCACTTGTAAGACAGCCCCACTTTTTTGGACTTAAAAAAGCAAGTTTTATCAACCATTTACCAACCAGCCAACCAACCTCATTCAGCAACATTGACATTAATCAATAAATTCATGTTCCATAGCTCTTGCAAGCCCATTCCAAATTATTTTCTACGTGCAACCCTTTCAAGGGGTTTAAACATGTTTAAACGTTGTTCAACCACCATTTTTGATGGGTAAACCAGTTGTATACCCTTTTTCTCCGTGCTTAAACCATGCAAAACCATCATGTTCGCAGGCGAACAAGGAGCTCAAGGGGCTGAGGTGCCCCTTTTTTAGTGGAGGTTTAAGCCTGTGGGACTCGCCAAGTGTCGTAAACTATAGCATTTGGGGACGTGTTAACCAACCTTTTATGGATTTTATATGATTTTATGGTAATATTGGAGATGGTGAATAATCGGGTGGCGGGTTTACCAGATTGCCTTCATCACTTTATGTTTCACTTATAGATTGTTTGATTGTGTTTTTTGAGGTTTCGATGAGAGGACGACGATAAGCATGTTCCTAAGGTAAATCATCTATGAAGGAAGCTGTCAAACAATGGAATTTTGCATTGGCGGGTTTGTCTACCAGAGGGTAGTTGGTTCCGGTTAACGGATTTACCAACGGTTGGACATAGCAACGTTGATAAGATGGGAGGTTTTTATATAGTAGTTGGAAAACACTCGGAACCAAACAAATGGGAAGAGTATTCAGCAAGGATCGCGGAGCAACCAGTCGTTCATGTTGAGCAGGAAAAGCCAAGTATTTTTCCAGTCCATTTGAAGATGTGTTCCATGTTGATTTTCAGTGGTGTACGTCTATGTCTCCTGGGAGCCCTCGAAAAAAAGGAAACATGTTGAAGCCAGAGCAGATAGGGGAAGCCCATCGTTAGAGTATTTTATGTTTGGACAGTTATGTTGTGTTTCTTTTCTAAGTCAGGTATGGCATATCTGAATTTATAGGTTAGATTAATTTAGTGTATAACTTTGCAGCTTTTGGTGTACATCATCGTTTGGGCCCCCATCAAGAGTGCAAGGCATCATGAAGTGTGCGATTGGTGCCTAGGAAGTGGCACAGAAAAGATGCACTTCCCCCTGTCACGGTGGTTTCAGCCAATGAGATATACTATGACCATCTATGACCCATTTCCTGATTGGATGGTGGCTTCATGTTCTTCCAACTGTCCATCTTTACCTGACCTGGGGTGTTGGGGGCTTGAAGATGTTTCAAGGACGTTCATATTTGCTGCCTACTCTTGTGCTCCAACCTGGCAATCAATGTTTCACCAAGTTACCAGACGCATTCTTGCCCGTGACATTTACAAAACAAAAAATATGGGTATTGTTCTGCCATTCGCCATATGAAATCATCAGGTCACATCTTTTTCTGTTTGCAAAATCCTCATGTTGTTTACGTAAATCCACGTGTTTGCCGAAAGGCCTGTATTTTCACGTGTTAATCTCCATGTTTCTCAACTGCAAAGGGGATGGCTCACCCCATGAAGTCATGGTGGATCATACCCATTTCTGTGGATGAACTGATTCAGTCGTACATTAAAAAAAACATTTTAAAAAAAAACGTAAAAAAACGACGTCAAACCTCCATAAAAAACCATATGAACCACCCAGAATTTCATCAGATCATCCGTCGTCTATATGATGCCACCGTCATCCGTAGTAAGCCAATGTAAACCACATTTTAACTCTTCAAAAGCCACGATATTTCCACATTTTCAACCCCATTGGCCCATCTTAAAGCCCCCATTTCAACCACTAAACTCAGCACCATTCAGCACCCAACTCCATGATGACCAGGCGACGCACCTTGGCGCTAGAGCTGCCCGCCAGATGGGTGGAAGGACAAGCGCCGAAGCAGGTGCCGCTGCCGCTGCCGTGCCAGCAGTTACTCCAATGATCAACAGCCCATGGGTTGATCCATTCCCACCATGGCTGCCCCCAAAACCTTCCGAAGGTGAATCAACTTGGAGCATCGTGGGGCCGGCTCAGTGCGCGGATCGAGATTGGGTTGCCAACTTCGTGGAAGAATCAGCATTCAGAAACGGCAGTTTCCAAAGGTGCATTCCACTTATCACATGTGGCTCTCAGCAAGAATGAAGCGGTTCCCCTCGGACGATTTTGATGGGTCCTGTTATCCTTCAATTTTTGGCAGTTATTTGGTTGAGATTTGGTGGAACCAGTACTTTTTTGTGTGGTTTTACCACGGTTCATTTCAAAGACCTGCAGTGAAAGCACCAACCTCAGTGCCCATGTTCTTCAGAGGCGCTAAGTTGAGGGACCTCCAAAAGGGGGCTTTGCAACTGACAAAAAGAAAGACTAGGATTTGGAAGACCTGTACCGTAGGACTTATATTTATAATATTTTATAATCATTCTGAGGTAGATTCAGAACATGGAATGTCGAACTAACATGAAACATATTTCCATGTTGTTTTTCTTTTTCTTGAGATGTCCATGTTGTATTTTCTCCAGACTGACGATCAATTCTGCCATTTCTCTTTCTGGATGTACAAGGCGAATGGTGTCCAAGATTGTCAAGGAAGACATGTCCTTTTTCGATTGTTTGATTGATTTATGGGTGAACGCCCCGTTCGCATATTAGCAACTGTATGCAACGAAGGTTCAGTCTAAACCTGACAATGTGGAAGCCCAATTTTGAGATATTTAATCATGAAATCATCTACAATTCATCTTACTGGTGCTTAGTAGGGAATAGATGGGAATGGGGGAATGGGATGATTATTACTAGTGATTATGGATCATTCCCTCATTCCCTGCGAAGCACCAGTAAGTCATTTATTCTCCATTCCCATGTTTGATTGGAGGGTATCCAAGGAGGGTTTACGCCTGGCATGGCACGCCCCTAGCCTCTAAGGTCTCAATGGTATCGTTTTTGCGCTCTTTTTGGAGAGGTCATTTGCAACGGCGGTGTTGGGGGGAGACCTGGTCCCATTGAGTGTCATCAAACGTGGCAAGCTGGGAAATCCTTACATAGAGTGGGGTTTCTAATTGGACAATCTTCCATACAAAACATTAAAGAAAACTGCCTTTTACTTGTGAAGGTGTTGGGTTTCCAGTCTCTTTTCACGACCTGCGGGGGTTGTAGTTCGGAAAATCGTCCGGGACAAGGTGGAAGATGTTCTACAATGTTCTACAATAACTGGTTGGTGGTTTGGAACATGGTTTATTTTTCCATATATTGGGAATTTCAGCATCCCAACTGACGAACTCATATTTTTCAGAGGGGTAGGGGTAGGGGTCCATCAACCCAAATCGGCGGGCCAATTCAACACATCCGTGAGGTTCAAACCTTGGAATTGGTGCGCCCCATGGGCGCACAGTCCACCGTACAATTGCCCCTTGGAGCTGAAGGGCTTGTTGTGGTCTTTCGCATGCGAAGGATGACCAAGCACTAGTTCTGAAACCCGTTCTTTTTTTTATGTCCATGTATATCCATGTATATTCAGAATCCATGAAATTTCTGGCAGAGCTTTGCTCTTGCATTCATCCTGCCACAAATCGCAGCGGTACGTGAACTGAACTTTGTGACCGTGGTCGTCAGTCAGGGTCCAAACGAGTGCCAATGAGAAACAACGTCATCCTATGGTTGCGTCATGTGTATTCATGTGTTTGACTTTCATTTTTTCCTCTTGTGGTGGGACACTTGTTGGCATGAAGCACGTTCAAGGCACAACCGGCCCACAATCATGCGGAGGCAACAGTTGAAAGCGGTATCTGAAAACATGCAGGTTTCAACTGAAGGTTTAGTAAGCAACAGTGATGACATGGTAGGCGATGTGAATTTTGCATTAGTTGTTGCACAGTTTGGGAAGAAGACCATGGCAATGCAATCTTGAAAATATGATATTGGCACCACCCGCGTCTTCAAGAACTGGTGATTGGTAGTGTGTTTGCTTCATCCCACTTTCCACCTAAACCGTCCAGCTGGTTCACCCTTGAATGTGGCCATGAGCACACATCAAAGTTGCACGGTGATTTGTATCCAAGGTTGATTAGCTACAAGGACGGGGTCGCAGAGGGTTGACAAAGGACGTGCTCCATACACTAAATGTTTTGGGTGCTATTTTTGTGTTGAATTTTCGGCAATGGTTGATAGGCTTGGCGTTGAAGAAAGGGCAAATATTGCAAGTGAACAAGCACATCGGTCTTGAAGGATACCCAACATGGCCGTTTCAATACGATAGATAGCATCATGAATCCATTCCAAAAAAACAGAAACCAAAAATGGAAAACTTTCCCCAATAAACACATTTCCATACTTAAAGATCTTGGGCATGCTGCAGTCTTAAAACATGCCATATTTTGAGATGTTAAGCACCGATCGGATCGCCCCTGTCGAGCCGCTGTGGAACGCCAGGAACCGGAGTTCGCGGGCGCCTTTCGGGAGGCCCTGACGGATCGCTATTTGATCTTCGTGAACAGCAGCAGCCGCGCGGCCATGGCCGTGGGTTCGGAAGGTTTTTTTGGGTCGCAGCGGTTGTCGCGAAACGTAGAGAGAGGGAGGTTTCCCAGTCGTCATGGGGCTACCCCCAGTCGACACCAGAGTTGTTTTAGTTGCGAAGTCATGGTTTTTGATGACTACCAGGCTTGTTTTAGTACTAAGTCATGGTCATCCATGACGACTGGATGATTTGGGAATAGCCCCATTCCAGGAAACCGCCATATTTTGATTATTCATGATTATCATAGATGGATTGATGATGATGATGATGATGGTGATGGTGGTGGTGGTGCTGCTGCATTTGGCTGGTATTGTTGGGACACTGTTGACGCATGTTGACCTAGTAATACGCATGTCTAAACTGATGAAAAAGCGATGATCTTCTGTTGTGGATGGTTTGCGCAAGAATTTTCTGTTATGTTGGGTGTTGCGGGGCTACTAGAAATGGATGGTGGAGATAGCCAAGGTTTTTGTGGGTGGTTTGGGTTGGTGTTTTAAAATGAAATGATCATGTCCAGCTGACTGGCGCTGATTCATTCTCTGAAAAATTCACCCCTACCCGATACGATGCGCCCCATTGGTGTCACATGGATTTGTTTGAAGATAGGATACTCCCAAATCTATCGGTTCATCATTGTGTTCCTCATATTTTTCCTGTTAAATTGCCATATGTTTGTGGCATGTCGGTACCCTCCATTCTTCAGACACACCTATCTTCTTGTAACCTTGGGGCCTGGAACCGATTTGCCATCCTGCTGAGTTCCGGACGATTGCTACCCGGTGTGTTGTGTCCCTGGCGATGGCGCGGGCCTTAATGAGGACACTGATGTATTTGTTTTAATATGCCGAAAGGCGTACGAAATTTTCAGACCCACATACCTATACGGAAGAGTTGTTGGTTTCAATAAATATTGGACAAGAGGGTTGACGCACCAGGAAGCAACGGTCTAGAACATGGAGCACATGTATATAATCTTTCCTTTTCTACTGCAACCCATGGGTAGTTAAAGCAGTGCTGCATGTTCCCCACTTGCGCTTTAGTGGGGCCAATGTTTGCACCCTTGAGATCCCTTGAGGTGTTCCCTCAACTTCGGAAATTGTCATTCACTGGATCGTAAAACATACGGTTTAAGATATTTTAAACCTTTTTAATTGTGGTATACATGTTGAATATACCTTGATTCAAGTTAATTTGACATCAAAAACCTTATGCATACATGATTTGGGGCTACCTGTTAAGAGCTAGTTTGCATATATGAACCTTCACATGACCATCACAATCGACCTTGTGGCCACTTGGCAGGTTACTCCTTGCGTGAGTATTTCTGCTCCGGTGCTGCCGGCTTTTGTTAAAAGCCATGCCAGCGATTTGGCACAGACATCCCAGGGACTGGTTCAAATAGGAGAGATTTCAATAGGAACTCGGTTTCCAACCGCAGTCGGGTGGGTTTGGAATGAAATTATGAACTTGGATGAACTTGGAAATTATGTTATACCAACAATAATACTATGTTTTTTATTATTATTTGGCTTTGCTACATTGGGGGTGCATCCCACTTAGTAAGTGGACAATTATCATTGTATAATCCAGTTATATAGCACGAGCCCCGGGACACATGGTTTCCTACATGCATGTTTCTCCAACATGCTAATGATGTGTTCCTGTACTCAACTACTCAACTATAACCAACTTATTATGATGTATACTCATATCCTAAATATGAGGGCTATATTATTACGTTATATTACGTTTATATTATCTTCATTTATATTATATATATACACCAACATTTACCAACAACCACATACGATTCCTGGGATTGAAATATAAATAGACGTATTCAACTATAATACTCATTATTGATCATTAATTATTGATGGTGTGAATGGAATATATATATATATGTATCTCCTTTAAATATCCCAGAATATCTCCTATATGGACGGTTGATACTCCCATAACCACTGGTCCTCCAGGTGCTTCCCGTGAGAAGAAGCCCAGCGCTACGCGAGACACGCGCGACACGAGAGACACGGCGCCGGCGGCCGCGGCCGCGGCATCGCTGGGGACGCAGACGCCCAAAGCGCCGGCACCGGCGCCGGGGCGCACCGAGGTGGCAATGAGCACCACGGTGCGGAGACACAGCTGGGAAGATACCCTCTGGTAATATGTCCAAATATCTATTCTATTGGTCGAACTGTGGGGATGGTATACCCATTTCCTGTAATATAACCATAGTAAATTCTATGTGAAATTGGCAATAATAATATATCCAAATACCCATTCTAGTGGTGATATAACCATAGTAAATTAGATACCTTCTGGTAATTTAACATAGCTATTGAAGCCATGGCCCATGTAGTTCGTTGATTTACCTATTAAAGATGTTGATTTCCATTGTTACTGTATGTTAGTTTACCAGAGGGTACATGATACACACGGGGGGATAAATATAGATATCATCCTGAAGTATATGGATGAATATGGATGAATATGGGTGTTTCAAAGATATTCCGATTTGAGTGAGGATACGGTTTGAATTCTATATTCAGGAGGACTATAGATTGACAGATGGACGGGTAGGATGAGAATAACAGATATTCATACACTGCCCAGCTTAAAAGCCTATGATTTGCTGCATGTGTAGTATTGGCCCCCACAAATTGAAAGTGCTTAGCGGCTGTGATTCAAAGAAATTCATACAAATTGGATATGATGATATATGAAGGTAGCAAATCCGGAACTGAGATGTAGAACCCCTTGCAACTGGTGATGTGGGACGATGTGGGCCTTACCCCAGCCACCAAATCCAGTGGCGTGCTCGGAGTTTTGGTGCCACATGTTTCAGCCAACAATTGTATAAAACGGTTGATGTCATTCCACCAATTTGCTTATTGATGGCAATCAACATAATCAACGCAATATCTTATTGATGGATAATTACCAATGGCAAAAGAGAAGTTACAATAATAACATATGTTCAGCATGTTTGCCCCATAAGGCAAACCCACTGCATAAACGCCTGGGAAGATTTGGAACGATCAGCTCCTGAGGGCGGCTTCCTGCTTCGACGTTGCGGTCGTGGTGAAGTGTGCGGTGTCACATTTGGGCCATGTAGGGCCGTGGGAACCGAAATTGAGATGGTGCAGAGGGTAAGCATTATGAAAGCTCAGTGTTGGTGATGTTTTTTTGAGGATTACACTCTGGTAAGTTAACATAGCTATTTAAAACTTGTGATTGTGTCCATAGCCGTGATGTGGAGCTTCATTGAACCATCGTTAGCGATGCCGGGGATGAACTGTTTGGTTTCTTTGGCAAGTTGACACCCGCACCCTGCTGCCTGTTGAGGCGTGCACCTTGTTTGTGTTTTTTCCTCCTGCAATCAAACATGGTGTGCTGGAAAATCCCCCACTGATAGATGAATGTCCCAGCTATAAACAAACCTCCATTTAATTTGGAGTTTTTCAAGCAAACCACGTTTTGATTGCTGTGCTGGTGGGTATCTGATATCTAATCGGAAGCTGCAAACCACCCAACCTCAGAAGACCCCTTTGCTGAAGCAGTCTGACCAACCTCGCACTTTGCCCTTTCTGTATGTGTTTCTTTATTGAACCGTGAATTGGTAAACAGGTTCTACAACAAACACGAGATCGGTTTGAAAACTCACTGCCATGATGGATCAGCATGAACTGTTTTGGTTTCTTGTATGTTTCTCTGAGCCCTTTCACGCATTGGAACACCAATACGCACGGCTTGAAAAAAACATGCCCAGTATGTTGGTGATCCAACTCTCTTGGAAACCTCTTTTCAAATCTACAGTAGTTCCAGAAGTGGTTTTGAGGGAAACATCCTATACTTTGCTGCTAAAACTACATGAAAATCTTCATAAAACCATGTTTTCCTTGAGATTTACCCCAAAAAGCCAACTCTAGGATGGTTGAGAATCCATAAAACCATGCATAATCATCAAAAAAAAGGTGTATATATATATTAATATATGTGTTTTTGTTTTTTTGCGCATATTTTAAAATCAATAATAGCAATGAAGATCCAGAATGTCCTAAGGATTTTCCCCTTTTGTTTTTCTTGGTCCAAGGCCTGGTGCTTTGCGCCCCGCCCCAGAGACCTTTCCGATCAACAAGCACCGGGTAGACTTCGGCCGCTCGGGAGCAGCGGAGCAGCGCTGGGGAGTTAACGATGACTTGTTGGTTGGAAAAAACGGGTTTCAACATCAAGACTTGATAGTGATAAACACTTGATAAATGGAGTTTAGTTGATGATGATGATGACGATGATGGTGATGATGATGATGATGATCATGATGATGATGTTTTTTTTCGCCCAAGATATTGCAAGGTGGGGCCCCCCAAAGGGGATTTCTGATGAAGATATGAACACAACAACAATAATCTGGGAAATTCGTGGTTTGACTCATAAGAAAGGGTAATATGTTGGTTAATGTTAATGCTGGTTGGTGGTTCACATTTTTTGTGTTCCATACAGTACATTGGGCATAATAATCCCAACTGACCAATATTTTTCAGAGGGGTAGGTATACCACCAACCAGAATGAGTGAATTTATGATGAAGGAATCACCTGTCATGGGTAGTTGGGACGGTTTATGGTGACTGGACTTAGGCGATTACGATCGTCATGCTTAGATGACATGGGGATCAAGATGTCATGGGTAGTTATGACTCAGCAAACCAACTGTCATTTCGATGGTGGAACATGATAAGATGCTTGGCACCAAGTGTCCTCACATTATTGAACCCACTGATTTGGGGAGATGATGAAGACGCCTTTGTCAACAACAATAAGACTGGTAACAACCAAAAGCGAAAGTAACACATAGTACTTGGATTTATATAACCCACTTAATTTGATTGGAAAAATGATAGCACTCACTGCGACGTCACCGGAATGATGGTAGTGAATGTAAAACATGTGCACGTGACAATTCACGTGACAGGTTGTTTCAACTGAATTGCTGTTAATTTATCATGATGATTTGCTGAATCACAGAGATTGGGATATAGCCCATGAAAGTGAAGATGCTGGTTCAAGCTTGAACAACTATGGTGTTCAATCATGAAAGAGCGAATTCAAACAGAAAAAGGTGAGATTTCAGCAATAGATGCTGGACATTTTCCAAGAAGATGCACTTCCAGTGGCGGCTGGCAGGTCGTGAGGATACCTGCGATGTCCGGAAGTCTCAGACACTCAGAGCGCTGGGTTTGTTGATGTTGGGAGGTCTTGGTGCAATTACGGCGTGGAACTGCATAGAGCTATTTGGAAACAACTTCTCCATTTGGGGTGCCTACTCTTAAAGTGCCCATGGACTTGCCGCAGTTTCATGATTGCCAGCCATTCTTCAATTGGGCATGTTTTCCAGTACTTCCCGCCTGGGTGATAGCTGACAGCTGCCATCAGGGCGATGGTGGGGAATGCATGTCCCATGTTTTTCTTTCCTGATGTTACAGTGGTATTGCAATCTACAGGAAGTGCCCCCACAGTTTGCCAAGTTGGTGCACATAGGTAGACTGTACTCACTACTCACCAGTATGATTTATGGTGGATATATTGAACTAGTTGGATGGGGTCATCAACAAACATGCCCTTTGGTAATCAAATGTGGCACTTGAAAATCCTTCATTTTTAGATTCTAGATGATGTTCATATACATATATATATATGTGATTTATATATCAGATATATATATATATATTATATATACATATGATTTATATATATATGTATTTATATATCTATATAATCCATATATATATATATATCATATATGTATATATATATGACATATATATATATGTATATATATATATGACACATATATATATATATATATGTATGTATGTATTTATACATCTATATAATCCATATATTTAAATATATATATATATATATGTATGATGTTCCCATTAGAACCTTTATTTATACAGGAGATGTCCCGTTGCCACGTTGAATTTACCGCCTGTCAGGTGGTCTTGCGACATCAGCACGTCTCAAAAGTGTCGGTGTCCTTGGTGGTGGTAGCTATCCATTCCATCCATTGTCAAAATATGGTAATACCACCATAATTATGTTCGTGGTAATGCCTTAATATGGTAATTGATGGTAAATGGTTTTTGGTAATGCCACAGTTATTCGAGATTCCAAAAAACATTTTGTAATCAATTGGAATTTCAGGATCCTAAAATGGAGGTACGTTAGTACCATATGTTTGATCATATTCTATTGGGATATGCCCTGAAATTTAGGGCTGAAACATAGGCCTAATATATAGCAGGTACCTCCAATGAATCGGTTCCTGATATGGCCATTGAATCCACTTAAGAGGAAAAGGAGCCAGCTAAGGATGAACAATTACCAGGAGGAATTATGGATAAAAGGTAATCACCAATCACCAGCTGGTAATTTCCAAGGATTTACCAAGGCTGAATTTCCAGCTGGCACCTTAAATCACCATGGATAAAAAGGGAGTTTTTTTCCACTCCGGTAATTTAAGGTGGCTATTTAAAATCCACCCATGTTCAATAGATCATGTGTAAATGGGCCTTTTTCCGTAGCTATGTGAAATGACTGGAGTGTAGTTTGATGTTGATACTTGGGGTTGCATCCCATTTAGTAAGCAAGTGGATGGAACTGGGTTATAACACATTATAGCCCGCGTATTGTTAGGGTATACCGGTATACCCTGTTTGTAACTGGGCTATAATATGTTTATAAACCGCTTGCTACCAATGATACATGACATGTACGGACGTCTATACTGCAACTTTGGGGCTTCAATGAGCAATCTACTAGGTATATGATGGATTTTCATGGATTTTCCATATCAGGAATCTGGCGTCATCACATTCTATGGAGGTTTCCCAAGTCATCGGGGCCCAAATCATCCGAGTCACGAGTCCATTCTTTCGCCAAGGCATGCAGTCTTCGTGCTGCAGACTTTGCCAGAGGCCGAAGCGAATTTTTCGGGCTGCCAATCAAACAGCGGAAGCTTGCTGAGTGAACATCGGTACAACTAGAAGCCCCAAATTAATAGAGAGATAGTGTGTTTTCAGGACATCATATAGATGATTATGATTATAGATGATTATAGATGATTATAGATGAATAAATGATTTTATACAGATGAGCTTGACTGCTGATCTCCTGAGATGGCGATGGAGAGAGAGAGAGAGAGAGAGAGAGAGAGATGATTTCTTGACCTTTTTCCCGAATGCGTAGCAAGGGTTCCCGTTTCACTCTGGGGGTCTGGGGGTTGAGGGTGTGTTCGCTCGACGTTGCGTTCGCGAGCGCAACCGTCCGCAACCGTTCGCAACCGTTCGCAACCGTTCGCGCGATCCCCGTATGGCCGTGCCTATGGGAAGTTCTGCAGAGGTGGTCATTTTTGGAGGTGTCAGACGTGTCGTTGCTTCGTTTCGCCTGGCAGGCGTCGCACTTCGTGACATTCAGACGTGTTCTGGAACGTGTCGAAAGTCGTTTTGCGTGGCAGGCGCAATACTTTTGCGTTGTTTTCAGAAGATGTGTTGCAGTTTTCGTGGCAGGCGCAGCACTTTGGACGTGTCCATCGTCATTTTTCGTGGCAGGCGCAGCACTTTAGACGTGTCGCGTTGCGTGTTTTTTGTAAATCGCATTGGCAGGGCTGCGTCAAGTGGTGACAAGGTGCAAATTCCGTGGCAGGCGTGGCATTTTCTGACATGTGTTGAAAATTGACGGAAGCCTCGCACGAAGCATCGATTTTGAGGTTACAAATTTTCAGGTTCTAAGGAAAACTCGTAGGAAAACGTCGATTTTGGCGCTGCAAAGTATGAAAATTGGAGGAAGTCTCGCACGAAATGGTCGTTTTGGTGCTCCCACCTGTCTCGTCTCGAGTCTCTGGTTTTCCTGTGGCCTCGCCGTGTCTATGGGGGAAGCTGCAAAACTTGTCCTTTTGTCATGTTGCCAACTGTGAAAATTGGAGGAAGTTTCGTACGAAATGCTGGTTTTTCTGCATTCACGTGTCTTGTGTCGAGTCGCTGGTTTTCCTGTGGCGTCGCCGTGTC